TGCGCTGCGGGTCTTTTCTTGTTCCGGCACGGGACTCACGCATCTTTCGCATGAGTGTGCTGTACGGAATTCGTGTCTTCAACGACACGATCTTGCCGCATTCACTTGCGAGCACGGTCAGCACCGCTGCGTCAAGTTCCTTCGTTGTGTAGCGACTCCGAGGGGTGGGCATGGCCGCGCAGTACCAGAGGTGATCCAATACGATAAAATTCGGTTTCGCGCGTCACTGGTATAGGTTTTTTGAGGTTATCCCGCCTAATATTTTTGTTATTTGATTGGCTAATTCCAAGAGATCATAAATAGGTCCGTGCGTCGTAAATAGATCCTTTACGTTACCGGAAAACACTGTAGTTTGGGCAAATGCGAATATTGCAGGTGTTGTGTGGTCCTAACAACTAGTTACAGTATGTATAGCACCAATATGTAGATTCGTTGGTTGGTGTTGTCAATTCTAACTAACGTTACGCACGGCGCGCGCCTGTAATATCGGCAAAATGGCTCAACTCAGGAAGGATAAGCGAGCTGTTTGAGGATATATAAATATTTTAGCGGTTGTGTATACTGCTACCGGATCCAGTTTGGAGCTGATCGGGGTATGAGCGCGGGACCTTTGCATTGCAAGATGATCAACTTTGGCTTCACAGTTCACTGTGAATATATTAATAGTATACAATTTTTCAGTTTTGCGAATTTCCGCAATCGCATATATTATCGATTTATAACGATTTACAACGTTAGAGCGATTTCACTCAAAAATGGATGTTCCTTCACAATTCTCATTTATTCTGTAGTTTATATGGATCAGTGCGCTGTTTACATGTCTCATGTTAGATGAATACCACATTTATTCTCCCTTTTAAATGAATGGCTCACGCTGACGCTGTTTCGTCAATGACATGCTTTCAGTATACTATACAAAGACTCAGTCCACCGCGCATCTATATTTGCCCAGTGACCGACCTGCCCACCTGGTCGAGCACGTACCAAGCAACAGCGCTCCGAACGACGGCAAGGTCATCACCTCCCCATCCTCCTCGTCATGGCAAGCAGCAGCAGTAGCACCGCGGACACCTCTGCGTTCGACTCGATGGTAGAGGACTTGATTCCGAACGCGTCCGACCCAAACGCCGTGTGTCTCGAGGACTTTTCGCTCATCCGCGTGATCGGCAAGGGCTCGTTCGGCAAGGTGACGCTGGTGCGCAAACGTGACAACTCCAAGGTGTTTGCGATGAAGATCCTGAGCAAGGCGTACATTGTCAAGCGCAACCAAGTCGAGCACACGCGCACCGAGCGGCGCGTGCTCGCGGTCGTGTCGCATCCGTTCATCGTAAGTTTGCATTACGCGTTTCAAACCAAAGACAAGCTGTACTTTGTGCTCGACTACTGCCCCGGCGGCGAGCTCTTTTTCCACCTCACGCGACTCGGCAAGTTTTCCGAGGCCATGGCGCGCTTCTACACGGCCGAGCTCGTCGTCGCCCTCGAGCATCTCCACTCGTTAGGGGTCATTTACCGCGATCTAAAGCCCGAAAACATCTTGCTGGACGAGATGGGGCACGTCAAGCTCGCCGACTTTGGGCTCGCCAAGACGGAAGTCACCGAAGTCGCCAGCGGCGCGCACAGTTTGGTCGGGACACCCGAGTACCTCGCCCCCGAAGTGCTGGCGCGCACTGGCCACGGCACCGCCGTCGACTGGTGGGGTCTCGGCATGGTTCTCTTTGAAATGCTCACGGGCATGCCGCCATGGTATACGCGGAACCGACAGGACCTGTATGCCCGCATCCGCGATGCGCCGCTAGAGATTCCGCCTGGGCTTGGCGCAGACGCGGCGTCGCTTATCCGAGCGCTGCTCCATCGTGATCCAGAGAAGCGGCTCGGCGGCCGCAAAGGACACGGCGCCGTGCAAGTTAAAGCGCATCCGTTCTTCCGATCCGTGGACTGGGATGGCCTGCTGTGGGCCGAGCCACCATTTCGACCGAGCCACCCCCAAGCTAAAGATGACGGCGACACATCCAACTTTGAAAAAGAGTTTACCGAGATGCCTGTGCACACCCCCGTGAGTCTGCACCGTATCGCAGGCACGTCCCAGATCATCGCGCCATCCATGTTTACCGGCTTTACGTACGAAGCGCCGTCGATTTCCCTCGGGTCCAACACATCCCAGTGTCAAGTTGACACTGCCGCTACCCAGCCGTTTATCTAGCCCATCGTCACAGAACTAGGCTACCTAGCTACACACTGACTCCCCGCCGCGGCTACAATCGTGGTGGATCGGGTGTATTGTTGTTGGTTGCTGGGTATAGATAGTACTATGGATGGTGGCGGCTACATACATGTATTTTGACGTCGACGGTTGCAAAAGGTCTAGAGTAACTGAGAGTAACGTTACCTCGGTTGTTTATTATTCATTCGCTTGTGTCAAAATACTCGTTGTATACTAGTACTAGTACTGTTAATATAACGATAATACTCGTTGTATACTAGTACTAGTACTGTTAATATAACGATAATACTCGTTGTATACTAGTACTAGTATTAATATAAAGATAATACTGTACTACTAAATTTAGTAGTACACTGGAGAAGGTGTTCACAAATGGCCGGTTTTTTTACCATCGATCGAGCTCTTTTGTATTGATATTTGTATGTGACAAAGAGGAATTTCAATCCCACACACATTAATATGATTGAAGCGAGGAGTTGATTGGCTCGTTGATTCATGTTGTGCGATTATGATTGGTCAATCGATTGTCTGGTCGTTAATTTTCGACTCCAAGTTGAATAGACAGACAATAATACGACCGAAAACTCTCTATTATAATAGTAACACGAAGACAAGAAAGTACTGTGGTGAGTGTGGCCACGTGTTATAAACATTCACAAGGTTGTGACTAATTCTAATGCTAAAACCGCTGGAGTACTACTATAACATACTCCTCTTTTCACCTTTTTCGGTGACGGCAACGACGATACATCGCAGTCAGGTAGGGTTTATTCCAATGACTCGATGTACGTGGTGACACAAGTGCAAATAGCATGCAGCCGACGAAACCCCCTTGGTACCCCCTCAATCCGCCGCACCAACTCGACGACATCCACCTAGAAAACAATACATGAGCTTAGTCACAACATATTCTTTACAGTCAGCTATCATCATTCCAGCACACAAACACAATCGAAACGGGCTCAATTCAACCTGCCAGCCACATTCACTGCATCGGCGGCATCTTATTTATATATATATATATATACTATCAACCAATCCACGCAATGGTATTGTTGTATTTCTTCTAAACAGGAGCGAGACATGGAGTATTTATTATATACGTTTGAATCGACACAACCAAATGTACAGAAGGATTTAGCCAATCCGATTGCAGGAGATCATCAGCTCAACCAATCAAAAACGAGTTCGAGTGTGTGACTGAAATGAAGGATATCGCCGGTGGACATTTTTCACATATACAACATTCACAAAAAAAAATCGATCGATTTGGAATCCGCACACACAAGTAGTCCAAATTTAGGATCAAACGACAATATTATTTCTAAATATTTCTAAACACACATGTGGGCGGGCTATTGATTTCATTCGCCCACAACTATATGACAATAAGCACACACATAAATCACGATCGACTCATTGAATATCCACTGCTGCTACTCCCACTATCAACCACCCATGCATGCACTCAACTACGTGATCAAATCTTGCCAAGTCATCCTCTACTCGTACCTTGGCCTTGCCAAACTCGACAACCACAACAGGTGGTGCTGTCCATCGACGAAAGCAAAAGTGCGTCGACAACGGCAGGCCCACGCGCACTTTGACCAGACTTTGAAACGACACGAACGCAATCCAGAGCTGTTTGGATGCTACGTCAGTTGTGATAGCATGCTGTAATACGAGGGTTTCCATGTCTCGCCATAGGCGCACAGATCGCTGGACGTCGAGTTGGACCCACTGGACAAAGGCGGGGACGTCCGATACCTGGCGGACAGTCGCATCGCCCGCTTGCTGGAGGCGCACGGGGTCGAGTAGTGCCGCACAAACCAGCGCTGCCACGTCATCAAACACAGAGTGCTGCTTGTTTTGCTTCCGCGGCGGCAGCACTACTTGGACTTGGCACGTCGCCTTGGAAACGTCCACGTCAAGTGACACGATGATGGACATGTCCGAGTGCAACGACGTGAGCATCATGCGAAGCTCCCACTGAGTCGGCGACATGCTCGTGTACGTCCACTTGGCCAGTTTCGACGCGATCTGGAACAGTTCGTCATGCGCTTGAACTGCGTGTATCCTGTCGTGCATGTGAGTATCCGACACGACGGCGTCGGTGGTTTCGATGCGATGGAGTGCCGCGTCCTGGGTGTGTTTGGCCAAGGTACTTTGTAGCTGGCTCAGTTGCTTGTCAAGGCGGTGGAGACGGGCTGATACTTCGGCTCGAATCGTCTGCTGCTCTTGAATCGACGCTAGGGACCGGTCCATACTGCGCGCTTTGGCCATCAACTGGTGGACCGCCGCTCGTTCCTGCGCTTCGTCACGCCCAACCGACGCCAGCCGCTGCTGCAGCCCCTGATACTCGGCTTGCAACCCCGCGCCGCCGTTCCAAACTGCCATCGACGCTGCTTCGAGCCGCCGACGCCATGCAAACCACTCGGACAGCACCGAAGATACATTCGCATGGTAGAGTTCTACGACGAGGTCGTGGGGAAATTCATTTGTCGTCTGCAGCAACGCCGCCAAGTAGGAAGGCACGAGCTTGGCCTCGTTCAGTCGACGCTCCACGGCCATCTCGGCTACCCATGTCGACAGTTGGTCAACTGCTTGCGACCACCGCGTCGTGGTTTGCGGGAGTACGGCGGACACCGCCAACAAGTCGGCGCATTCCGCGACTTGGCGTTCAATCGCATCGTCCACGGAGGTCAGCGTCAAGGCGGCAACGAGGTCGGCAAACGTGGCTGTAGTTATCGTGGGTGGGTGTAAAGCAAGGCGTGGTGCATCTTGTTGTGCTGCGGGTGTATCGAAATCGAGGGGGGTCACCTTGGTGGACAGTTGCTCCGTTGTGGGCTGGTGGGGTGCGGATTGTTGTGGCGAAGATGGTGCCAGGACAACGACCTGCGCGGACGGATCGGGTGAAATGTCGTCGTCCACGACGTGGGAGGAGTCTGAAGGGATAAACGCTGTTGATTTGTCGCCGTGGGGAGGGTTGGGAGTAGGAACGGGAGTCCTCGACGCGTTCTCCAACGAGACTGACGTGGTGGTTGATACAGTGGATGATATGGTGGGTCGAGGTTGGTCCTCTAAATGCCGTGGTGATAACGACATGGGTTCGTGTTTGAGCTTGTTCTTCTTGCCGCTCGACCCGCCCAACTTGTCAAATTTTTCGCCCAAGTTGATCACGACCGATTCTCGCTGGGCCACGTACTTGGCGTCATCATCATCTTCGTCGCTGCTCAGACTGAGATGGCTCAACAGACTGCTTCGCGTGGACGTGGCTTCCTCGCCTTCAGCAATCGGATGCAGCAGCCCTTTGAAATGCGATACAGTTGTGTCTTGTGACAACGTTTTGGTCGTGGTGTTATTAAACACACTCGCGTCGCCTTGGAGATGCCCGATAGGTCCCAGCTCCAACGTCTGGTCGTCATCCTCGTCGGAGCTGTGGCCGTTGTTGGCAGTGACCTTGGGCGGTGTATAGTTAGTTTCATTCCACAAGTCCCCCAATCCGTTCGACAGTTGTACAGAGGATGGATGATTCTGGGCTGTAAAGTCGCCTGTAATGTCCATATCATCGTCCGAAGATGAATCGACCATTGTCGATGTTGCTAATCAAACACAACATATCAGGTTAGTACACCAACGAACGATGTCACAGTCTAAAGAAGCAATAACACACACAACAATAACGCATACACACAAAGCATTCCTCATGGGATGTATGTAGTATATCCTTGTCCTACTAATATTACTATTTAAATATATATATTTAAACTGGAGCGACATGAAGAATATGCATCGACACCACCAAATGTCCATACTTTAATTTAAAAAAATTATAGAAACTTTAAAATTAATGAATTCACACCACCAATACATGTCTAGAACAATCGGCAGTAAAAGTCGAATGGAGCCAATTAAATTGTAGGAAAAGCAAGATCAACATTTGGCAAAGCACCCAAAGTCCACGTTTTATTAGGGCACAAAAGGACAATATATATTTCCAATCATGCATACACAAACAGATAGATATAGTGGAATCACACCGAAACTCTGGACGTAGTTCGAATCTCAAGTCGATTCGAACTACGTCCAGAGTTTCGGTGCTGCTCAATCGAACGAGCCCAATCGGCAGACAATAATATCGATCGATATTGGCCAATCAAAATTCAGATCATCCGGAATCAAGGAGCCAATCAAATCCACGCCGCTTGGACCGATGCAATATCGAATTCATGTGTGACTGAAATTAGTGTGAAACTGGACGGGTTTTACATACAAACGAATTGATCGATCGATTTGGCAACTCATCAGCGACCCAAGGCCCACTTTGGGGAAAATAGAACAATATATATATATATATACACGCTTGGCACAAACAATCAAATCACACGACGCACCTGGACGAGGTTTCTTGGCACTGCCCACGATCACAAGCGCGTCGTTGTTTTGCATGACGTTGACCCCCAAGAGCGACTGGCGGCGGGACGGCTGCTGCTGCTGCTGGGTAACTAGCGATGCCGACTGCTGTTGGCGAGCCCCGAACGACGCCCGTCGCTTTCTACATACAAAAGGTAGGTCAGTATGTGTGTTTGTGTTGGCAACACTGGTAGCAGCAGCCAGGACCAGTCTCGGTGGTCGATACAGTACATCCGAAAACAACTTCAACGGATCAACCATATATATATTATATAATCCACACATTCACAAATATTATCCACGGTATGAATATCTGAAAACAATCCAAGCGTCTCCAACAACAAAAAATAATATATATTTTCTATTTTTGTGTCGTCGTCCGGTTGTCCGTCCTCCCATCGACAATAATATCACACTCGAGTCCCCTTAATTTTTTCCCACGATTATTCTAAAGTACCCAACAACCACGAAATCCCCCACAAATACTAGTTGGTCGATACATTTCTCTCTATACACCGTGTATGTCGCAAAATCCTTCTAAAATCCTTCTAAAATATCAATCAAAGTACATATATATATACATTTCTCTATACATCATGTGTGTCGCAAAATCTTTCTAAGATCAATCAAAATCACATATATATAGATTACCGTCGGGCGTCGGCAATGTTGTCGAGCGGACTCACACCCACGACATTGTTGGGGGCTGCTTTATTACGTTTCCTCGTGGGGCTTCGGATGCTTCCAAATGGAAACGATAGGCTGTGGTTCTCTTCTTCTTTGTCCAAAAAGTGGTCGGCCTCGTCCAGAATGCTCGTGTTCTCGGACGTGACGTCGTCGTCGTCATCGCTGTCGATCTTGTCCAGTGGAAACATTTCCCTGGTCTGGAGCACACACATGGGCGTCATGGACGTCGGCGGGTCGTTGCGGCGGAATTCGGCGCCGCGGGGGGACCCAAACACGACCGACTTGGTCGGGGTGGGCGATGATGACGGCGGCGGTTGGGCTTTTCGCGCGCTCAAACAGCTTTTCAACGGCGTCTTTACAAAACCATTAAGTCGTTAGGGGATTCGAGGCTCAAACGGGGCAAAAGGGGCGATATATATTGTGAATTCGCTATAAACTTGCAAAATTTGCGTGGTTTGTCTACTCAATATTGAATCACGCTGGAGTTGTGATTGGTTGAATATACTTGTCCTTTTTTGTGTAAGAGCCAATCAAATCCACTCAAAATTGGATAGCGTCGACGGGGTCTGGAAACTTGTACCGAATATACCACAATATAACGATCGATATAAACATAAATCGGGTTGTGGATTTCAGTCCAATTGGCCATATTTTTGAGGGATATATGGTTGAAATCACTTAAAGAATTCAAGCAAAGCAGTACGATATGGATCAAACGAATAAAGGTAAGTGTTTGCAATCGGATTGGCCAATACGAATGAATGAATGTTCGCAACGATACCTCTGAACCTTAGTTTTCTATTATATTTCAAAGGTCCAGCGATTGTAGGGCGGTGCATTCAACATACCGCCGGAGGAAGTGTGTGTCTTTTTCAGTTTTGTATTGTGTGCGCATATACACACACAATACAAAACTGAAAAAGACACACAAGGCAACCGTACACAACGTCACAACTACTTACATTGTCGATATATTCGAAATTCGAGAGTTTGGGTTCTCAATCGAAGGCAATCGATATACGACCAATCAAAACACAAAACACTTATCAAGTAGCCAATCAAATTATATATAACATCAAATTAGTGTTTGACTGAAATTAGTGTGATCCTGGACGATCTTTACATACAAAAGCCAGGACAAACAATCGATCGATAGATATTTGGCAAAGAATCAAAAGGCAATCAAATATTGGGATAAAAGGACAATAAAGAAAGCTCCATATAACCAACACATATGGTTCATCGTTGTAGGGGGGGTTACAAGTAGTAAGTACCGGGTGGTTGTGACGATTAGGGGGAGAAAACAACGACGGGTGGGGGCCTGGCTTGGTGACCACACGTTTGGTTTCGTGCGTCGAGTTCTTTCTTGTCGATGGACCCAGTGACGACGACGAGGGTGTTGGCGCTTGCGTCGACCGGCGGCGACGTCGGTCACGGCTGGGATCTACATACATATGGCGCATACAATATGAAAATATATACATATTGTGATGATACATATATATAAATATCTTGAGTTGAGTCCAAACTGCTGGAGCGACGTGCCGAGTCATCCAGTTGTGATGGTAGTATATATATATATATATTGTACATGAACTTATACCAGCAGAGATGGTGTCATTTTTTGTACGCGGTGGACTCGTTGGCTTACCAATCGCCTCCAAAATCGATGGTGGGGACGAAGTACTCGTCACTTGACCGTCCGAGCGTTCCGATTGAAACGAACTGAGCACGAGGTGATCATCATCGTCGTCACTGTCGAGGTGCATCAGATCCGACGGGTTGAGCGTATCCCTTCTGCTGGCATTATCTTTGTTGCTGGTACCATGTTGGTTCGTTGGTCCTATTGTTGCATGAGAGTCCAGCGCCAACTCTTGCGCGAGTTTCTTCTTCTTGTGCTGTTGCCCTTCGTGTTCACCTCCTTCAAGTGTCGACATTCCTTCCAACACTGCCAGGGCTTCCAACGGATCGAGGGTATCTCGTCGCCCCGACGCCGCCATGTCGTGCGAAGTGGCGAGGTCGCTGCTGCCAAACATACCCGCCAGTTCACTTGGATCTAACGTGGATCGACGCGCCGCCATATCGTTTTTTTCAGCGGCGGCAGCAGCTCCGCGGACGCTCGCGACGGTGGTTGCATGGGGAGGGGATGAGTGAGCTACGACGTCGTCGTCATTGTCGTTATTGCTCGATTTCGGCGATGTCGGCAACCTCCTCGTCTCGATCGGGTGTGGAGTCGCAGCATGTGTGGGTGAATCATCGTGTCGATGACTGCTGTCCTTTCCTTCTTCTGTCTTTTCTTCTTCTTCGAGTTCCTTGTGTCCTGCACGCTCTTGTGATGATTCTTCGTCTTCTACGAGGCTTTCGATGCGGCGGAAACCGTCGGGGGAGAGAGTGTCCCGTCTGCTGCTGCTGTTGTCGCCGGGTAGCTCGGATTGAGGCATGGGGACGGCGCGACCTGGAGATATCGTGTCCCGTCGATGAGTGGCGGTCGCGGTGCTGCGTTTGGGTTTGCGGGCAGCGCCTGTCTCGGGCGTGGGTGGCTTGGGGGAAGAGAAGAGACTGGGGGCTGGTGGGAAAAAGTCAACGTCGTTCCCTCCTCGATGCGCCAGAGGCGGCGGTACGGGACTCACAGAGCGACGATCGGGTGACTGGGATTGTTGCAACGAAGTGGGCGGCTGAGCGACGTTGATCTCGCGCTCGAATTCATGGGCGATGGAGAACCCGCGCTTCTTCACCTTGGCTTTCTGCGTGTCCGTGCTGAGAAAGTTCGATTTGTCCCGTGCAGCTGGTGGTGGTGGTGGGGCGTCGTTTTCAAGCGTCGCTTGCGATGTCCGTTGCCGCTTTTTCACGTGCGGGTTGCCTACCGCATCTCCGCCGTCCGTTTTGCCTGGTGTAGGTGACGACGCTGTTTCCATGTTCACATCATCGGTTGTTGCGTCATCCACGGTACGCGACATGGCGTCGTCGTCCTGATCTGCATCTCTTTGCATGTTCGTTGCGAAACGAATGTCCAATGCGTCCGTCCGCAGGTGCCGCCGCCGCTTTGTACTGCCGCCGGTGCCCTACTGGGGTGGCGAATTATTCAACTTTTTGAACGCCGTGCACTAAGTTATCCGGACGATTATCCGTATGTGTCCCCAATTTCGCGCCCGTTTCGTATTTGCAACAAAACATTATAACAATCCATCGTCCACATATTTTGTCCGTTGAACTGTAAAATGTAGAGATGTTTTGTAACAGATTAAATATAACAAGCGTTACGTTTCCCCTCGTTTGAGCGGCATTTTGAAAATGTTATGCTGAAATGTTATACGTATAGACTTATTGTTCCTGTATGTAGCCGAGAAGTCGTCGGAGATCGTTGTGAGTCCATCGTAAGGCAGCTTGTTTGTAGTCCTGCTTCGGTTCAGGATGAGGGTTCTATTGCGGAGGTATTGTTAATCACACTTAACGTTCTATAGCCTCTAAAGCAACAAGAGTTGCTAATAAATGAATTATCTATTACAAGGTACTCATTTATTTCGAACAATGGATATATATATACATGTATATACTGTTGTTAGTAATACTAGTAAAGTTGTGCTTATTGGTGGCTACTACTACTATAGTGTTCAAAGCGAACTGTAGGGGTACTCTGGAGTTCGGAGTAGTACATGCCATCATCAAGTGAGACGTATCTATGCCTGTGAATCATGCCGTGAGAGCATAAAACACTATTAATACCACCAATACTATATCTTACTGTACAACAATCGTTGATAGTACATAGTGTTAGTATTACTAGTAGTAGTGTGAAAGGTCGCGATTAGGTGTATGGAGAAATCTTCGAATTGAGTGATCTTCATCCGGACGAGCGACAACGGCGGTCTTTGCCGCGCAACCTTGCTCCATCCACGGCACATTTCTATCGCGCATGGACAATGGGCCGACGGTTGTCGGTGGTGGTGCTGCCACCCATGACAACAACAACGGCTTAGTGCTGGACACGACGCTCTTGACTGGGTCGAATGCGTTGGGGTTATGGATCACCATATCCGCCGGCATATGCTCCAATCTTGGCGTACAGTTGCAGAAACATGCCCATCAAGCACGCCGTCCTCGTCTTGGCAAGGAGAACAACAGCGTCGGCATGTATTTCGCCCAGAAGCAATGGATCGTGGGCATGGCACTGGTGCTCGTCGGCTCCATCGGCGACTTTGAAGCCTTGAGGTATTCCATCTCATTCCCCACGTCAACTGCCGCCTTTAGTCGCATGAAACATACATCGATCCGTGCTGTAGCTTTGCGACGCAGTCGTTGGTGGCCACCGTCGGCGGCGGCACCACCGTCGTGACCAACGTGTTGTTTTCTACGATTTGGCACGGCGAGCATTTCACCATTCGAGACGCGTACGGGACGTTTTGTATCCTCCTCGGCGTCCTCTTGATCGCCTTGTGTTCCCCCCAAGACGAGCAATACAACGTCGAACAGGTACTAAGTACCTACCTACGTACACTCAGTACTTACTACCTACCTACACTCTTCAATACCGTACGTAGCTAGTGTACAAGTTTCAAAGCCCGTCCGTAGTAGCCTACCTGGCGCTGGTAGCGGCGCTGCTGTACGTATTGCATGCCATTGTTCAAGGCAGCAACGACAGTGACGACATCCACATCATCGCCTTTCCCAGTGCAATAGTACGCCCCAAGTCTGAAAGCATATATATATATATATATATATTGCCCATTCAACCAAACTTTGGACTTTTGGGCTGATTTGCCAAATCCATCGATCGAGTTTTGTTCTGAATTTGATTTACGACTGTCACACTAATTGAAGTCAACACTACATTGATTTCCTGGAATTTGATTGGCTCGATTCTTCGGTAATATACCATATAACCACATGATATACAGAACGCGTGTCGTCAAACAAGTGCGCGCCTTCGCCGGTTTATACCCGTGGACACTGGGAGCATGATGATGGCCAGTCAAGAATCGATCCAACCGGTCGTGTATGCGATTGTACGCCGTGCAATGTGATAATCAAAATTTAAAAAATATGTCCACTTTGGGTTGTATGGTAGATGTCTGGAATCATGGGTTCGTTGTCTATGCTATTGGGCAAGGTATATATATATATATATATATATATATTGGTCGTGTTCTGTCTATATTGGTCATTTTCTATCCAAGGCCATAAACTGTGCGTGTTGTAGTGTGCATCCGAGATGCTCCAGACTACCTTTCAAGGGTCGAGCCAGTTCAACCATCCCGTGACTTATTTGTTCTTTACGGGCATGGTGGCCACAATTGGCCTGCAAGTTCACTGGTTCAATCAGTCGCTTATGCGTGGGGACATGGCGATCGTGTTTCCCGTGTTTCAAGTGTTTTGGATTGGGGTATATATATATATATATATATGTACTTATAGTGCAGCCCTAACTAACGTTTAGTTTGGCGTTGTCGGGGGCATGGTGCTGTATGGGGACCTGGCGCGACTCGAGTTTTTCCAAGGCGTGTCGTTTGTGCTCGCGTTTTGGTGTATGTATTGCCTCTTGTATTATTGTCGATTTGATAGTACAAATTTGGGGAGTTTGGGTTTTCAATCGAATCGCGCCGACCAAACCGATCCACAATCGATCTGATTGGTTGAATTTCATTGAGAACGTTTTGATTGGTTAATAATTTTGAGTTCATCTGAAGTAGCCAATCAAATCGATTTAAATTCCAACGAGAAACCACGCCACAACACAATGAAATTTCACTCGAAAGCACAATATGAGGAATATATATAGTTAACCATGTGCTACTACTAAATTTACTACTGCTATACACTCCATCATCTTCATCACTGGCAACGCAATATGTTTAGATATGTTTATTTTACACCAACAGTTTACTCTGGTCGCCCAACAATCGCTGGACCTGCGAAATATGATACATATCAAGTCGAAGAGTGACTCTTGAATCGTTTGAGCCAATCATATTGAAACCTTGACTGTTTTTTATCCAATCAAACTGCTCGTCTCGCTTGCTTGGTAGTTAATTCCCCAAAATTGGCAAATTTGGGCGACTAGTTATAAGTTGTGTATAACATTCCCAAATGGGTTTTGCATGGTCAAAGTATGATGATGAAGACAGTGTGTTGTGAATATATAATATTGCTACCAACTTTACGAAAAATGGGTTCATCTATGTACTTACCCTCACTTTGGTTATTTATTCCCAGCTATAATATGTTAGTTGATGTCTAAAGTATACATGACGTCGTAACTAGGCATTCTCATTGGAGTGTACAACTTGGCCCAGCATGAATCGCAAGGAGTGGACGCATCACCATCTCCCAATCTCGTCCGCCCGCCGAACCTGCCGCCATCCATCGGTAGCACCGCGGCAAACTCGTACCTCGTTGACGCCTACCAAACGCTGCTCGAGTCGCATGTACGTACAATCGGGGTTTACTCTGTCATAGCCAACTAACTGTAACCATTCAATATTAACGGGGGGTGATCGCAGGAATCGCAGCAAATGGTGGACAACTGTGACGAGCTTGGAAAGATGGAGGCTGAGAATCCAAACACGTATCGTCCACCAGCGCTTTTGCGCACACTGTAACGATTATTTGTCCTTTTCGATGATATGTGGACTTGGCTGCAGCACCGACTTATGTTAGATTGTACCTTCCTGCTTGAATGTACTAATAGTATACTAGTATATTGGATATATACATATTTGTTAACCATGGACGTGCTGATGGGGGGGGTATACGGATCGTTGATTGGTTCAAATAACTTCTCCCACGTGTAATAATCATTTGATATTGTCAATGATATCGAAATTGGAGAGTTTGGGTGGTCAATCGAATGACCAGAATCACCAAAAATCAAAGGCAGACGACCAATCAAAACACAGAGATCACTATCAAGTAGCCAATCAATGAATTATCCAATCACAGTCGACCAACTCTACATCGAGTAGTGTGCCAATGGACAGGTTTTTTACATACAAAAGTCAGTTCAAAGAATCGATCGATAGATGATTTAGCGAATCAACACCAAAAAATAATTTTAATTTTAAAAAAATACTGATTTTTTTTAATTTTTATTTATCCAAGTCCAAATTTGGTGTAAAAGGACAATATTGGCTAGGATATCATCACTACCCAATGTCTTTCGAGTGTACACTATATTTGGAAAACTTCACATTTGATTTTACGGGGGCACCACGCCTATATATCTAAAATATTTAGTCGTCCCAGCCGTCGTCGTCGTCGTCTTCTTCGTTCTCTTCCTGTTTCGGACCTTGAGCATGCAGCGTCGGTTGCGCGGCCAGCGCGTGCAACCGGTTGAAGTTTTCGTCGCGCTGGGTCCGCTCGTCATCCTGGCGTTGTTTCGTCGCTTGAAAGTCAAGTACTTTGGGCACCACGGGAATATCTGGCGGCCGCGTTGACACCCACGACATGCCTGGTTGCATAGCACACATGAGGACGAGTACGAACTAACTAGTCTCTCGACCAACTAGTAGTACTACTACTACTATTGGACTATATATACCAGCTGGACAGAGCGACTCGGTGGGTGGAGGTTGAGAGAGTCCATCGAACCAGGCAGTGGCCGACAAGCTGCCGCCGATGGCGCAACTCCGCACGACACCGTACACGTCGTCTTGAAAGTATTGCTTCAATTTATCCGCGCGGGGTAACGTCAAGGTGACAGGGTCGATGGTGGATTTGGTCAGCACGAGAAACCGAGCTACTTCCACGTCCTACATGTACAACCAATATCAACAAGTGTGATAGGGAGCGTTAAACTTGGGGTTGTTAAAATATATACAGGACAACTATTTACATACAAAATTCAGTACAAAGAATCGATCGATAGATTTGGCAACGAATCAGCACAAAAGTCAGCCAAATTTTGGGTAAAAGAAAGACAATATATAGACTTACGCGAACGTTGCACAAGTGTTTGGGAAGCAGCGCCGCCCCTGCAATTGGAAGCCCCGGGAACGAATATGGAGAGCACGGGTACAGTGTCGGGGTCTACACATACATATTCAAGTATTTGGCCTTGGTCGACAATTAATATTCATTATTTGGAATATAAATAATATAGTCCATATGTTTTGTAAGGCAGAACATGAGGAAATATATATATATGGCCAAGATATAACAAAACCGAGTTGGAGGTCACCTCCAGTTTGTAGACTTTCGACTATATATCTTCAATTATACTGTAGGTACCCGTCAAACCCCAAGATTGATCTCCATGGGAATCGTTTTTTCATAGTACGGAGTATCGATACCAACTACTACTACGTAATAGTAGTAGTATTACTATCGTTTGAATACGATAAACCAACCTACCAAAACACCAAGAAAGGTACAACGAATGCCATTTAAAAACAGAAAACGCACGTTTGACTGTCAAAACAATATTATTTCAAATATAGACATTATATAAATATTATTGCTTCATATATATATATGTTCAAAGCGAAATCAACCACCAATGTACAGTACATACCGACGACGCTGCGTCCAGCTCGTACGTCCAAATCGTCCGATCCCCGCGACTGACGAGGTAAATCAAATTGGACGACTCGTCATAATATGGCAACAACGCACTGCCAGACGTATCCCTACGCATAAAGTGATATAATAGTTAGGTCGTGGATTGGAGAAATTAATTCTCCATATATATTTATCCATATATATTTTTGACCCATACAACGTGGTTTTCGACAACGGGTCCAAGAGGTTGCGGGCATCCCACAGAAATACTTGACGTTCGCTGCGGGCACTAAAGCCAACCTACAGTATTCCCATCATCAGGATTATATATATATATATATATATATATATACAACCTTGTGAATCACGGATATATATATATATATATATTCGATTGCTTTTTGTTTGATGGAGTCTCTAAGTATCGTACCGTCACCAGGGTCGACGCATTGTTTTGCGAACACCACAACACTTTTTGCGCCTTGGCTCCTATTAAAAAAACAAAAATAATATGAAGGAACTATATATCATCATATCAAAGACGAATGTGGGCTTCTAAAGTTCCTATCTTCCAACACATGTATCCTTGTTTGACATTAATATCACATCACCGTATGCATGCCAATAATACATGAGGCATCCACTGCGGAATCTGCAAAATATAGAAATATATTTCTATATACTTGTAAATGTGAAAAAATATGTATACCTTCGTGGGCACACGCCATGGCGACTGTTTTATTGGCTCGAGGGTCCAGCACGCGCAACACCTATATATATATATTCATACATAAATATATTTGTTCCGTCCAACCACAATCAGGTTCAAATTACGATATTATTCCATCCCGACGAAAGATATATAAATACGTTGATGAATTCTAGGCAAATATTTCCCAAGTCTGCGCGATTCGTAAAACCGATCTCAAATCCCGCCGCGAAAAAGACCATTGAAAGCACGACCATCCAAGCAAAACATCTAGCCAATCATTGACAAGGAATTTCAGATGGCCGACCAATGGGAAGAATCGGTATGTTCGGCGCGATCCTCCATTGTACACTCGGTCGTCTCGAATATTCGGACCAAATGAATACTATATATATAAATCTATATATATGGGCAGTCTTGTCATCTTTCAAATAACGTACGGCTAAGACACCAGTCATCGGCACTGTTGTAAGCCAATAGAAATGCCAGAATACCTCTTATTGGTCAAAATGTAGTTCTTCAAGAATTAGTGCCCCTTATTCCAAGAAATCAAGCAAACCAGTAGGATTTTCGATCAAAGAATGAAGATTTTTGCACAATATAATTACACACAGTACCTTGTCGCGGGAAATCGTAGCCACCAAACTGCCGTCGAAATTAAACGACAGATTCAGCGGCGCGTCCTCAAACTTGTCGATCGTTTGCCGAGCGGCTCCAGTCTCCACATCCCACAGCTTGACGCAGTTGTCCTGGCTTCCGGACGCCAGCACCGTGTCAGCAGTCGGATGGAAGGCCACGCATCGGACGCCTTTGGTATGGCCGTCGAGGGAAGTTACGAACGGATCGGGTTTGGTATGGTCTGACACCTACATATAGATTCATGTTGTTTTCTCATATTGCACATATGATATGTGCTTTGTGTGTAGGAAGGAATGAGCTCTTATGATAGGTTCAAATCTAAAAAGGATAAAAAATAAAATAAACAACCTGGTTTTGAAATGTTGAATCTGTCGAGGTATTGCATTTACCACGATTTGCACAGTGTCATTCATACAAGGATATATTGGGATTCCATGTGAAATATCATCAGGATGGATACATGTAACGAATAGAAACTGGCAACAATATATATATCGCTTTGCATGATATACATATATATAAGTATACACTTATAGCAGAACCTGGCAATGATATAAATGATATAAATTGAGTTTCATGAATATAAAATATATATATACAATAAACAACCGCCTTTACATACCCGAATCGTGCCGTCGTCTGAAGCCGTGGCGAGCAATGCCGAATGAAACGGATGAAATTCCAAGTCTGTCACAGGCATTTTGTGGCCATTTACCACCACTCCACCCCCTTGGTCCACCTACAGAAACACAAAAATATCATCCGCATGAAATATTTTATTTTACCAGGTAATATATATTAAACAATATCCAACATCGAGCCCACCAATACATATGTATTATATCAAAACAAAAACTCGATTCCACAAACGAAATCAAATCATCCAGTCTTGGCATCTGGGTATACACATCCTCTGATGATATATAAATATATATATTGTGAATTCGCTGTAAACCTCAAACACACGCGTGGATTGCTAACTACTTGAGTCAGCTCTATTGAATCACGCTAGAAATGCTGATGCGCTGAATGTACTTGTCCTTTCTGTACGAGCCAATCAGATCCTCTCATTATTTTTGATACGACAGAGGTCTATTGTCCACATCTAATTAGTGTATGACTTAACGAATGTGATTGGCATCATCACCACAGGACATTTCATGCACTAATTACGGGAGTACAAAGAATCGATCGATCGATGATGCGAATCATCAGCACAAAATTCAATGGACAATAAATCAATTACATGAAACATTCCATATATATATATATATTGTCGTGTTTATTTCAAGCTGGAGCGACGTACCGAATGTATCGACCGAACCAAATAAATGTATAGACGAAACAGCAAAAGAATTAATTCGCCAATCAGGTTGCAGAAAGCCACGATATATATAACATCTAATTATTAGTGTGCAACTTCAATTCGTGTGAGTATAATCACCTCCAGATAGATATTTAAAATTCATAGACCAAACAATCGATCATCGATGAACTTGGCAAATCCATATCAAGTCCACATGGTGGGTAAAAGCACAATATATATATATATATATCCCTAAATAATATATATATATAACCCAAAATGGAATGATTGTTTACTTTGCCGGGGGATGTCAACGGATAGACGAGCACGGGGCCTCCAGTGCCCACGACGGGCGTGGCCCAATGCGTGGCGTTGGCGACCAACAATGACGCATCTGACGACGGCACATTCAAATACGAGTCGGACCGGGCCAATGCAGTCGTCCCTGTAATGTACTTGAACTACAGCCATCATAGTATTACTAGTACATACTAGCAGATGAACAGTCGTACCTTGTGGCCTTGGATCGAGCCCAGCTTTATAGCTTTTTCCGACAACTCGGTCGATACTGGCAAATGTGTTGTGAGGGTGGTCGTCGTCGTCGTCGCAGTATCGGGTGTGAGCAGCACAGTCGGAGGCGGTGCGACGCTTGCCCATCCTCCTCCGCCGGCGTTCCAATTGCTTAGATTTTCAACCTGATTCTGCTGCGATGGACTACTTGTTGCTGTTCCCAATGACGTTGCAGATACGTTTGTAGTGGGAAGAGGGGTCACTTTTCCAAGCACGGGAGCCGCGTTTTGGCCTGCTGTCCACTCTGCAGCTGTCAGTGCCGCCGTGCTAGTTCTCGAGTCTGGGTACAAATCTGCCTATAAAAGCCATATCCACACAACGCGCAATCACCAATCAACAGATCATGTCGGTTGCAATAGACTGGATGTATAAAGCACCCCCAACAACTACTACACAGTAGATATACATTACATATTTGCCAAGATATGAAACTATATATATATATATTGTTCGATACCATGACGGACATACATCCTACTACAGCACCTAGTTCCAATAAGTGATGTATAAATAATATATAGACATGAATCTATCAATTATATGCAATATATAGACATAGGTCACAAGCAGGTCGTGTACGATCCAATTAGCCACATCTTACTCACACATCAAGACATATGTAGGGTCCATGTTTAAATGTACCCCCACACGCTCATAACACAACCATTCACTCTGCACTACATATCCTTTTATAAAAAACTAATACAGTTTATTTGTTCGACACATATATCTAAAATACTCCTATAAACAAATCCGCATCCAATATTAACTTTCCAATACTACAGGAATCACACCCACATGAGTATAATATACAATAAAAGTACTATTGTCTTTAAATCGATTCGAAACTGGAGTCCTCCTCAGCAAGCATCGAATGTCTTAAGTGAATGGGTTAAAGAACCGCCCAAGCCAATCAAATCACGTTCTCGTGAATTTCTGCTAATTTAAACGTTTGACTTGGCCCAGTCCCTCCGAATTGGGCAAAACCTTATATATATATATATACTAAGCTTTGGATCGCATAGTTTGTATACAATCTTCAATTGGATCGATTCGAATGTTATATGGTGAAACGACTCACAAGTCCAAATTTGGGTCAAATGCACAATATAAATCATCTATCAATCGACCAAGAGCAAGTATACCTGAAACTGGGTGGCAGCGTCGCGACGGGGCACCGTGTAAGAGATGGGCTCGATGGTCCCGCCTTGTTCCAGCACGAGCACCCGCGCGACTTCGCACTTGCCGAGCGCGCATGCCCGCTTGGGCAACGTCGCCATGCCCCATGTCGGCGGCCCCACCGTCGCGGGTTGAAGCGCCGTGAACGCCCGCGCTTTCTCGACATTGAGTTCGTACGTTCGGATGGTTTTGTCGCCCTATGATTGAGAAACAACCGTCGCCAGTTGGTTTAATGTTATTACAACACACACATCCTAAATCGTACACGTGTTGTTCTGTCATGTCAAAATACAAATATATACATATATATAGATTGTTTTCATTGTGTATTTGTTTCCACACATGATATACATATATATATCAGTATATATATATATAGTGGATTCGGTACAATTTTCAGATCCCGTCGAATCGAATCGACGCTATTGGCTAATCCAATTTTGCGTGGATTTTTTGATTGGCTCTTATACACAGGAGACAAGTATATATTCAACCAATCAGAACCTCCAGCGTGATTCAATATTGTGACCAAGAATATCCCAATGTACTAGTCTTGTATGCATCCACAAGTAAACATTTCAATCGTGTACGTACCCGCCCACCGACAAACAGCAAGTTCGTGTCTTGGTCGAATATGGGCATCAACAGACCCGTGCCAGTGTCCACGCGCTCGCGCGCCATCGCCTTGTCCAGCTTGCGCACGTCCCACAGCATCAGCTCCCGCTCTTGCAGCGTGTTGAACCCGGCCGTGAGGAAGAAGGATGGGCGGACCCATGTGATGGCCGCGGCTTTGCGTCCTTGGTGACCCTTTGTGCTCGCCACATCAAAACCAGCAGAAACGCTGCGTCGAGGGTCCCACAGACGAATGACATTGTCTTGGCACACCGTCGCCACCGCACTAGAAAAAAAAACTTAGTGACGACCAGAATATATATATATAGTGCGAAAATAAAAATAATATGACCAACAGCACACATGTACGATCGTACTTGTCGTTGATCTGCATCGTGTATACAATTATATAAATCAAGATCTATGATAATATTTTGGAATAATTCAATAAATGGTGCGCACTGTGTGATTGAAATCTTCCTGTCCAAGATATGAAAACATATAGATCCATCCATACTATACTAGGCTACAAAAAATGCCGTAGATTGTATATATATTGATATAGATATATACATCAGCCGTATCTGCATGATGTCTACATGGTGTTATTACAGATCGTACCTTCCATCGTCGTTCCATGTGAATCCCGTGATGACATCGGGGTGGACGAACGAGGAGGTGCTGACGCATTTCTGTTGATGCTGCACATCCAAGACCTCCACGTGCTTGGACATGGCAACGGCCAGCACGCCGGACGCCGACGGATGAAATGCTAGCCCCACGACGCGGGTGCTCGCAGCGGCATCTTCGTACGACCACACGCAGCAGCTCCTGTTCTCCAATGCTGACGGCGATGTGTCCCACAACTGCATGCAACAAGAAATGATGGTTGATGAACATGTCCATCACGATGGAAAGGATATCGTCGTATCCGAGATGTATACTGCGGCGGACCTTGACGGTTGTGTCATCCCCCCCTGATGCCAACAACAACGAAGAAGACGGGTCCACGACCAAGGTAGCGTACGCCAATGCATTCACTCGCTGGGTATGTCCTCTGAGCAACGATGTCGGCTATGGGAAAGGCAACAAACGGATGAGGATGGGCACACGAGATGACGATGTACTTTCTGGATCGCGTTAGATTTGCCCGTGTCGGATGCTGCCTTGACCTCAATGCTTGCCCCCGCTACATTGACAATGAGAAATGGTTGCATCCCCATGCATGAAATACGTACCATTGAGCTGCGAAGGGAACGCGAGCTGCGTCGCGGTGGCGTCGATGGGGTACAAGTCCAAGCGATCCGCATCGAGTTGCAACTCCTCATACCATTCCTCCCGCGGGACGTTGGCTCCAAGCACGTTGCGGTACTTGCTACATATGATATACATGAGATCGATGGAGGAAAGGCGGTGCCGCCGCCGCGAACCTTGCTCTGAACATGCTGATGATTATTTTTGACACGAAAAAGATCGGAGGTTTGTTTTAAAAGGATTTATAATTTGGCTTGATAGGCTATTTGTGTTTAAAACTCATTATTAAACTCTATTATATATGCCAATAGCAATTTAAAATGTATTTGATAACCTTTTAAAATGTCTAGGGCTCCTATTTAAACTCGAATTTCAACTGCCTCGGCGTTTGAAACCAGGCGCCAACCCATCCATTGAACCGAGTTTTGATCATGACCGACACCGCCGCAGCCGACGACCCCGTGGTTCGGGAGATTCCTGTGCATCTGGCCGACATTCTTCGAGGCAACATGTACGTCCATTCATTCTTCCTGTGCTCCACGTGTCACCCCTTCCACATGGGTATATATACTCATCTCCTTTCCTTCCTGGTAGACATGTCGTCCAGTTCCCGCTGCGGCCGGTGTACCGCCCGATGACGAGTAAACCCGTGCAGGCCAAGTACAAGCCGTCGAACTCGATGTTGTCGTTGGACTACCCATTGCACACCGAGGACCATTACAACAACGACGACGACATGGACATACCGCCGCGGTTGACGTTGCAGAGCAGCGTCGTCGCGCCCGTGTCCAACTACGCGGTGGGGGTGTTCCGCGACGGACAGCTTCACTTGACGCCCGTCACGTCCGTGTTACAGATGCGTCCGACCATGTCGCACCTGGACGACGACGACGGTGACGACGACCACGACATGGAGGCTCACCCCGCGCCATCCTCCTCCAACGTCGTCGCCGCCGCCGCGGAAGAAGTACAGGTGCAAGTGGTCAAACGGCAGTCCGAGCGCGCCTTAGCCGCCATGCAAAACTCGTACGCGTACAAGCGCAGCGTGGTCCAGAGCGAGAAATGGACCGACTTAAGCATCAACGCCAACGAAGACGACGAGTTCGAGCAATTGTTTAGCGATGTCGAGACCCCCGTGGTGTTTGATGTGACACCGCAAGCGTACCTACATGCGCTGAGTTATCGCCAAGACGATAACGTTATCGCAGTTTCGGATGTCGACCCCACCCGTGTTACTAGTACTACTAGTAGTAGTACCTCCCTGGACGATCGCGTACTGGCCGTGCTGCAGACATACAAAGTGCTCCACTTCAACCGCCTGTGCGAATATTTGCCGGATGTGCCGCCGCTAGACATCCGCGCCGCCCTTCCGCGCGTCGCCTCCATCGTCCGTGGCTGTGTAGTTGTCAACTCGACGCTATTAAAGGACCATGTCGAGTACCGAGCCGCCATCGTCTCAGAAGTACATATATATACATATATATATACCACTAGCAATCGATATAACTTGCTTGGAATGTCATATTGTGTAATATTGTGTATATGTTTATTAATATTGTAAATGGTGGAGTATGTTTTTAATAATATTGTCCGATATACCTTTGTTGGGACTACCTATGGCCCAATTTGTCAAAGTATTCAAATAGCTATATATATATATATATGCCTGGGTTGGGATTATCTTATTCTATGCCCTACTTGTGTCAGTTTTATATATCGAATAATCACAGATATACATATGGAGCTCATTTTTATTGTTATGTTTGTGTACGTGTGAGTTATATAGAGTATATACTCATTTATATTCCTGACGTATTATATTGAATGCCACACGGATAGGCATGTATGTACTATATTATTGTTTTGGAATGGTATCATTTGGTATATATATTATATTTGAACGCTGTGGTGGTATTGAAACTAGTTGACGAAAGCGGTGCATGTGTCGAGAAACCACGTGATCGACACGTACAAGATCCCCGCGCCTCTGGCCAAGACGCTCTTGACGGGTACATACATATATATATGTATATATATGTATATATATATATATATTCCTTGGCCTCGATATATCTACTGACGACATGCTAAAACGATGTAGAATACGCCGTGTTGAACCCTGTGAATCGACTGTGGAGGCTCAAGTTGCCAGACGACAGCGAAGCCACGTGGTTGCGTTGAGAAGTGTCATATCGTCGATATACAAATGCATACTTCTTTGCATTCTTGTCCCTGCTACTATACACATTCAAAGCTATACCGTACAGTATCATGATAATTCTACATACAATGTGCATCCATACAATAAACAAAGGCAATATCTACGGGAAGACGTCGTTGAATACAATAGCAATCCACATACATCTTGGACGATTAGTTATCAGCGGCATGTGAGGATCGTGTGGACTGCACCTTTCTTTGTCGTTCTACGTAGCCAAAAAATCAAAACAGTGATCGCATTCCGAGGCTTTTGTGTACTACGTACTAAGTACTATTAAGAGTAGGTGTGTAACAGTATGGTGTATGCAGTTTCGCCAACAAATTGCAGGCAAATGCTATGTGTATACTATTAATAGTACTACTACGTACATAGTAGTACATATTTGGGAACTGACTTGCGAAATTAACTGTAAAAAATAGAATATGTGGGAACGGAGTTCATGTTGCGAGATTGCAGAGTACTTAGTACTAGTATTTGGGAACAGCATTTTTGTTGCCAAAACGATAAAATAACCTGAAGTAGTAATACTATGAATAATAGCGTTATTATCGTTATTTTTATGATTCGGGTGTGTGACCTGACTATAAAATAACCCTACGTAGTAATACTATGAATAATAGCGTTATTATCGTTATTTTTCGTATTCGGTGTGTGACCTGAACGCAAACAAGTATCCGACAGTCGCAAACTCTCCTTGTAGTCAATTCACCACGTCATATATATATATATATAAATATATATATCGATGGTTTGACGATACACATAGTATTGGGTTTTCCGTCCAATATTTCTGTACTTCAAATGAAGTACTACTACCATCGAACAATAGGTATATATATATACTGTATGTACATCTCCCTCTATACATTCGCTTGGTTCATTTGTTTCCTACATTTTTCTAAATACACATAGTAACCGTCTTCAGCATGCAGTAGCAAATCCGTTCGTGGCGCCGTTGTTCTCAGCCACCAAGGGCGGGTCCAGCGGGATGTCGGTCAACGTCGACGGCGCATCTCCTGCGTCCGACGAGCTCCGCTTGCCATCGACAGCCTTGTCCACGGTGGACGTCCCGGGGGTGTTGGAGTTGCGCGGGATGTCGATGAACCCCGGGCTTCGAGAGTTCACTTCGTAGTACGTTTTGGCCGCGCAGCCACACATGCCCTGTGTAATGTACAGAAGGGACTCGAACAGCGACCTGGACGGCGCCTGGACGTCGGCGCTCGCCTGGTGGTCGCGCGCAATCGACGCGGCCTTGTCTTCCGGCAAGAGCAAGTCACACATGTCCTTGGCGCTCTTCGTGCCCTGGTGCGGCGCGATCTCGTACTTGTCACCTAGCATGCGGAACAGCTCGACTTCGCGGCCGTGCCAGCCGTCGATCACGGCTTGGATCGTGCTTTGGTCGAGCTTGGCGGGGTTGTACGTCGAGTAGAACAGCACGAGCGCATCGCGAGTATCGAGGGACGCGTCGTACTCGCCTACATGGTAGATGACGGCGTTATGGACATGAACAGGAGAAGGGGAGGAGGGGGATGGGTGAGCGACGACGTACTTCGGTCGTTCGGGTTGCTCAACACCGCGTACGCGGCCGGCACGCCGTCCCATCGGTCCTCGGCTTCCTTGGACGGGTTGCGATCCGGATGGAAACGCAACGCGAGGGTACGATACGCCGACCGAATCTCAGCATGCGTCGCCGACCGTGCCAGCCCCAACGTTTCGTAGAAGTCTTTGTACTTGACCGTGTCAGACGTCAAGTGCGATGCCTGCTGCTGATACCGCTTCATGTACTCCCGATGCATGTCCATTTGCTCTCGCTTCGACCCCGAAGGCGCGGCGGTCGACGACATGCTGCTAGGCTCGGATGTATGGGAGAGTGCGCGAGTCGGCAGAGGACGATGGACCTATTTATAGGTGGAAAAGCCCCGCTTCGACGAAATGTTGAGCATTTCTTTTTTATATGAATCACGCGTCCCATATTGAGTGGTGTAATAAAATAAGAAGAAGAAGCATAGACAGCTCATCCGGATAATCCGGATGCTCGGAGTGTTTTTGGCGACCCTTTTATTTTCTTTGTTCAGTGTAATATTAATTTCACTGTCAATCGTCCGATCGAATAATCAATACTATTAATAGTACTATCGTCCTAGTCTTACATTAATAGTAGTAAATACTTAACTTACGGGACAGCATTGAATATTAATACCAACCTTGAATACTATGGTTAATATAATATAATTGTTGAATTAAAAGCGTGGATGACATGTGGATGAAATTTGGATGACATTGGATGAAATTGGATGAAGTTGTGGGATGAAACCTAAAGTAGTGACCAAGCCTAACGTTGGCCCCGAGCGCCCGGGAGGCCGTCTGCGCAAGCGCGGCCGTACGAGAGCGCGGATCTAAGCTTCTCACTTCACCGAATGATCTATCTTTTCTTCTTGTCGGGCAGCGGCAGGTAGGCCGTAGGCCGTGCCGCTCCCGGACGAGGCCTGTATGCAATGACCCAGCATAATCCTAATTTACTCTCATATCTACTAATTAGGATATGACCTAATTTTAATGTTGGATGACGTTTGGATGACGTTTGGATGACACATGATACTATCACGGATATTTGAAATCCATATAAATAATTCGAAGTACGAAAACTATTATAAATAAGCTTATACTATTCCTTCGAAGTATTATAATATTACTTAAATTACGCCAGTTCACTGGCGTAATTCAATACTTTGAAGTAACGTGATCGACCATTGATCAGCCAAATTTTCAAAATTTTCAAACTAAAATATCTCAATTGGTTTTCATGGCATTTCATTGAAACCAACATTTCCGGAAAGCTGACGGAAAGCTCTTTCGCGGCATATTCAAAGGTATCGATTTAAACAATACTTGGCAGGCCATAAAAATGTCAAAGTTCGGCACTTTACACAGTCGACCATTGATCGGCCAAAATTTACACTTGAATTAAGTATTGAAAAAAGTTGGGTCAATTTTTCGCTCCAAAAACTCAAAGACTATGTCTCAAAGGTTTACTAAATTTCAACAGGTATACGTATTCAGAGTAAGAGCTGCAAGTATTGTTCAACGTTGAATTGTTTACCTCCATCATATTATACAGGTAAAACTTATCACAAGGATTTATTTTGTCCAATGAAACATCGTATTAATTTCAATTGGACGAAACACCTTGGCCGATCGATGGTCATTTGGCCGATCAATGGTCGATCACGTTAATAACACCGTATTTATCGTCGTCCTGCACCGAGTGCATTAACTGTAAAATATGTTCGGTTTTTATAAGACCAGCAATATGATTACTCTAGAAGTACATGCTACTACTGTAGTATGGTTCGTTCGTTTTCATAATCAATACTAGTACAACAGTACGAGGTATATAACTCAAGTATATTATGGCTACATTAAACTCGAAAACGCATTGAATTTTCGCTTTAAATTGGGAGGCGCAGGACGACGACCAATACAGTACAGTAGGAGCGATCTACAAATTGATGAACACACGTCCCATGGATTCGGGTGCATCGCAGTAGGCCCGCGGACTTGAAGTATCGTGGCAACCGTATGGAGTATCCAGGCGTACTTACACTGTAAGTACGCCTGGATACTCCATACGGTTGCCACGATATCCAGGCGTACTTACACTGTAAGTACGCCTGGATACTCCATACGGTTGCCACGATACTTCAAGTCCGCGGGCCTACTGCGATGCACCCGAATCCATGGGACGTGTGTTCATCAATTTGTAGATCGCTCCTACTGTACTGTATTGGTCGTCGTCCTGCGCCTCCCAATTTAAAGCGAAAATTCAATGCGTTTTCGAGTTTAATGTAGCCATAATATACTTGAGTTATATACCTCGTACTGTTGTACTAGTATTGATTATGAAAACGAACGAACCATACTACAGTAGTAGCATGTACTTCTAGAGTAATCATATTGCTGGTCTTATAATAAACCGAACATATTTTACAGTTAATGCACTCGGTGCAGGACGACGATAAATACGGTGTTATTAACGTGATCGACCATTGATCGGCCAAATGACCATCGATCGGCCAAGGTGTTAACACAAATCCCTGAATTGGTGATCAATACAAATACCAAGTACAGTACTGTAAGCTTACTTGGTATACGTATATTATTAGTATGAATAAAAGTTCTTCGTCGTCGAAAAGGCCTCGAACGGGCCTACCAGTCGCTTTTCCCGACAAAAGGAATCGATTGGATATTCGGTGACGTGCACAATTGGGGCTCACTCCTCGCCAAGGCACCGCCCGCACAAAATTATACACACGACCTCCGGTGAATTTGGGGGTGAATGCTTGGGAATAAACCTTTAAATATTCATTTAATTAGTTATAAAATAAACAAAATAAAATCGCGCTTAGGCTTAGGGCATTGGTATCCGGGCAATCCGGACAAAGAAATAATCTATTCTCCGAATTTCAAAAGATACCAGACAATAATACTGAAAATGCATGCCCGGCATGAACATCAGGGGCTGGTCTGCGAACATTCCCGTCCACGGTTTTTGAAGTATGGACGCAAATACGACTCGTGATTGGCTAAAACGTGAATTATTCCGGATAACACAGCCTCAAAAGCAGAGACGCCTGAGTTGAAGCAGAGATGATTCATCCCTGCTTTTGAGTGTCCGTTCCTGCTTTTGCACGTTAGTTTCGATAGAAATTGAGAAATATTTTTGATATATTTTCAAAATGCTCGAAAAGAGTTCGGATAACATCCACTGTCCAGCCCCTCAAAATTCGCAAAATAATGCGGGAAAGCGTGAAGGGAATGTTATCCGGTGATCAAAAATTAGTCAATCAGATGTTCTGATTGGCCAAGAAGCATGGACAAGTGTTATTTATAACAATATTATGAAGTATATTGGTAATTCGATTTCAATATGGACTGGGGCTGCCAATCGAATCGACGAAGCAAAATCGACGGAGTAATCGACGGAACAAAGTAGCCAATGAAATTTTCGAAAAAACCTTTCGACCAATCAAATTACAGGCGTATCCGGTGCATTTGCCAAGCTTCTCCATTTCACAAAGAGTTGAACGTTTTATCGGACAGGAGTCACAGTGAGTATAGTTCGTTCAAGTAAAATGACGCTCGACGATTTCGTCGAATCTACCGAAAAAACCAAATTTAGCTCGAAAGGACAAAACTCAGTATATCGAAGGGAGTTTACTGTATGTATTGTGGATTCGATACGATTTTTCAGCCCCCCGACGAATGGTATTTCGCACCCGAATCGACGAGCGATTGGCTACTCCACTTTTTAATGGATTTGATTAGAAGGAACAAGTATATTCAGCCAATCAGAACTCCAGCGTGATTCATTTTGGATTAGTCAAACACGCGAATTTTGGAGTTTATAGCGAATTCACAATATGAATCGTACTTACTGTATATGGGGATTCGTAGAGCCGGTACAGCACTTCAAGTCCAACGACTCAAAATAAAGTACTGTATCCCCCATTGCTTCACCGCTGCTGAAACTGACCAAACATTGACAAGACTCGTCTGGCCAATTTATGTGTGTTCGTTTCTTGTAAACAGAAGATCATTCGTTCCTCCTGTCAATCTCCTTCCAATTCTATTGACAGGGAACTGAACTCCCGTTCGAATGAGCGAACTACTGTACCACGTAAAGTCGCCCCAGCTTGGCCATATCACAAAGAAGGATAGGAATACAGTACACGCAAGTGATAGGCTAAGGATTCCAGCTTACTAGTACTCGCCGTCGCGTGCGTTGTTTTCAACACGGCCACGGTGTTTGACTGGGGAACACGAGCCATTCCTTTATACGTCATGGATCCCATACTAACACTCAATGAAGGTTGGATAATAAGTAACTTACTAGTAACGTGGAATACGAGGTGAGCCGGCAGTCACAGTGGCAGTAATACTACAACACTGTTGCAATGTTAACACACTTTGTGCGGCCAAATAGTGTTAACATTGCATCCAGTGATAGTAGTGTCAAGTACTACCCAGTCAGGCCGCCGACGACTCCAACGTTGGGTCAGCAAAACGAATTCGAACCAGTGGAGACAGTAGAACTAACTGTACAATACTCAATGTACAGCCCAACGCTGTGTGGCTCCTCTACCACAGTACACTGTAGTAGGTACTACTGTAGTACTTGAGATTCCACATGGTAGGTACCGGTCTTACATTGATGTTACATGTAGCTACAGTACCGGTTCTGTACACCCCAGATATGTACCCCCTCGGTCGCCCCCTTGAAGGGGGCATCACTCGTTCTGCCTCATGCTAGGCGCAAGTCTGTACCAGCTTTCGACTTTTGTCAGCAGCAGTCGACACCACAAGCCATCTAGTCTACAAATCTAACAGTGAAACCACGAGTCCAATACGGATCACCCACCTCCCATCTGATATCAATCGGGATGCCTAAAACTGCAAGTGTCACGAAACGAGCATACAAATATCAAGTACATATTCAATGGTGTTGCTCGTGTCGCACCATCTGCAAGTGCCAGTATACAAACCCCAAGAGAACCGGTGAAAGAGGCGTTTCGTCACCGTGGCATGACCAAAGGCCCACCAATTTAACCGCCGGTTGCTTTGGCGTCGCAAACGTCGATTGACAGACAACACAAGCATGGAATATCATCGAAGGCACGGCGGGGGCTACACCAACTATGCCGTCGCTCTAGCCTTCACTCTCCTGTCGACGGCTACAGTCCACGCACAGCCGACTGCCGACCCAGCCGCGGCGACCTCGACGTCGGTCCCAGACGCAGTCACCTCGACGTCGGTCCCAGCCGCAACGACCTCCACCGCCGGCTCGGCCGCGGCAACCTCGACGTCGGTCCCGCAAGTAGTTGCCAGGGGACTCAACTCTGGCGCCACAGCTGCGCTCATCATCGGCCTCGTTCTCGCAGGATGTACCATCTACGGCGTGGTCATGTACCTGAAGCACCAGCGTCTCCAGGATGCGGCGCTGGCCACTCGCAAGCTCGACAGCCACGACGACTCGCCACCATACATTGAAGCAGGACGTCACGGGTCCGATGACTTTGATGCGTACTTTGGCAAGCAGCCGCCTTTGAATGGTGCTGCTGCCTCACACTGCGTCAAGTTTGCGTCGGCGCGAGGTGCTATGCTAGCACCGCCTCACGTTGCTGTGGACATAAATCTATTACGCGCCAAGTCGACTCCCGCCATGCTATCGTCGAGTATGTCCAAGCAGGACGCTTTGCCTCGTGTGTCGATGGCGGCAGTAGACGAGACACCGAATGACACTGTCACAGCGATGCGGTCGTATCGCAGCATGATCCAACAGACTATGGGCGACAGCGTCGACGTGGCGTGGATGAGCCCCGTGGAAAGCTCGCGGAGCATGTTTCCATCCCGACAACCAGCAAGGGACGAAGATGATGACGAATTCGAGTGGATGAGTGCGTTGGAGTCATCCAGAACGAACAACCTGCACGCGATGGACACAATGCGCAGCGCGTTAGACTATGACTTGGCGGAAGAAGGCAGCGACTGCGGCAGTAGCACGACCACTTTCAACCTGTAAACAAAGAACCTGGTCCTTGTTATGAACGTATTATTAATAATATGTGTACGAAAGAGTTGGTGTGACCTTCCGCCTCGATCAAGCGGAACATATTGTGAATTCGCTATAAACTTCCAAAATTGTAAATAGTGTAGCTATATACTATTGTGCTTTTCACATATTTTGGCTAATCTGGGTATAAATACCCGCTTTTAACCAGTGGGTGACGAAGTTTTAGATTAATTCAACTTAGTTTTAGCTAATCGGAAGTACCTATGATTGGATGAGCAAGAGCTGTTCCTGCAGCATATGTTGCTAACCTGAAGCGTTTGCCCATTTCATTTCGGCAAACGCGGGGGATTACAGAGTGGATTACCTAATACACGCGAGTGTGATTCTTGACTATGCTCGATAAAGGTTGATGTTGAGTGCTTCTTGCTCGACTTTTCGTGCCAACGAGTTGCTAACAAGCTGGCTGCAAAGCTCGTGTGAGCTGGTGCACTGCGAGCTTACCCCAGTAGGTCATTACTCTGCATGACTGCTTGGCCACGGGAGTTAATAAAACGAAGTAGTTTTAGTAAAACAACGCAAGTTTTAGATCAGCCAATGACAGAACGGTGGGGAAGCTTACTTTTACGTCGAGTGCAACTTCAGTTTAGGTTAAACTTTGGATGGTTTTAGGAGCTAAAACAACGGGCAAAATATGTGAAAAGCACAATAGTACTTCGTAGTTCTAGCTACAGTAACGTTAGTTAGCCAAGAGGATGACATACTAACCCTGTAAAGTTATCCACACTCATGTTAATTAACTTGCTTTCACCATCAGAGCATGTACTGTACGGTACGTACACTTCTGTCATAGAGTGGACATGGAATTCCGAGAAACGTAGGACCAGCAACTAGTACGTGTATAGAGGGGCATATACCTTGTCCTATCGTGGCCTTGCAATGCCTACACGAATGAGGTGGCATTGACGGAAAACTTGTCTGTATCGTTCCGTGGAGATGTGTTGGAGTGGATTGACATAACTGCGGACACCGAACAGCCAGGCATCCTGTGGGCTTGGCTTACTTTCACAGCAAGCATTGTACAGCATACTCCATTGTGTAGATTGCATGCGACGTTATCTGTGACTGGGTTTGCGAGGTCCGAAGCGTATTGTGCCTGAAGAATTGCACAACTATGAAATGTCTCGTTCAACTTGACCACCACCCTCTCCCAAGGACGACCACTGGCTTTATTATCTCATGGAATGTTTGGCTTACATTTGTACTATTCCATCAACATTTCCTCAATATTTCGTCAAATGCTCCCCATTTTGCATACTTTGCTTTGTTTTTCACGAAATATTTGTAAATTTTAAGCTCCTCTACAGTATACCATGGCATCTCTCCTGATTGGATCTTTCCTCCCATGAATTGATTGGTGTTCGACGCCCACTGCTTGCTTCTTCATTAGTACGATGACGACCACCAAGCTCACGCACCTTGTCGTGGATGCGGGTGCCTTGATCAAGTGCACAGACCTGACCAATGTGGCCAACGTAGGCTCCTTCCTCCCCCTCCTCCACCTCCTCATGCTCTTGTAGAACTTGTGGACGACGAGCGACGTGCTGGCCGAAATCAAAGACTCCAAAGCGCGCCGGTTCGTGGCGCGCCTGCCGGTGGAGCTCAAGACGCGTGATCCGTCCGAGAAGGACATGGAAGCCGTCGTGGCGTTCGCGCGGCTAACTGGCGACTTTTCGTTCCTGTCGCTCACCGATCTGCGCATCATGGCGCTGACATACATGTTTGAGCGCGAACTGCATGGCATCGACCACATTCGCAAGACGCCCAAAGTATCCGAGACCAAAGTCACAGGGCCCAAGATTCCTGCATCCAAGGTATCTATCTACCCATCTCCATCTCCCTTGATTGAAAGCGCAGGGTGGTGGAAACTGATTTGTTTGCTTTTAGGTGCGCTGCCGCTACCTGCAAACGCCCGGTGGGTGCCGCAACGGCGCCACGTGCCCATTTAGCCACAACCTCAAGGACAAGGCTGCCAACACGGACCCGTTGCCGCCCATCGACGCCCCATGTCGTTATTTCAACTCGGACACGGGCTGCAACGCCGGCGACGCCTGCCGGTTCCAACATATTAAAGTGGACACCACCTCGACCACTTCACCCGATGATGCCAGCGCACACACGACGTCTTCCCAAGTGGAGGCTGCGACAGTTGAAACCCTAAGCCCCGTCCAAGAAGTCGAAGCGACGGCGTCGGTCGAGTCGGCCGCTCTACCGCCGACGGCCGCCGTCGGTTCGCTGCGCAATGCCAACGTCAAGTCGCGCATCCTCAGCGCCGGATTTGGCGCGTCTACCAACGCCGGAGCAGAAGGCGATGACGGAAAGAACTGGGTCCACAATGATAACAAGGCCGAGTACACCCACAGTCCATTTGGCAGTGGTAAGCTCACCCAAGCAATTGACGCAAATGTCGTTCAAGTCGGGTGCATCACTACCGATTACTCGATGCAGGTACTAACTAGTCATGATCTCTACTAACTACATCATGTCGTGTTTTACCCCTATTGATTTAGACTTTTGTGAGCTGGTACGCTCCAATTGTAGCGATCGATTCAATGTTGTACTGAAGTTTGTATGTAAACAGTAGTGGATTGTATGTTTCACACTAATTGAAGTCACACTCTAATTCGAGGTTGACGATGGTTTCCTGCAATCTGATTGGCTTATTCCTTGTGCTGTACGTTCAGTATGAACATCGAGTCTGGGACATACATTCAGCTTTTTGGATGTATTGTTATTTCAGGCACACTTGGATATTTATTTGTATGCGGATTTGGCAAATCCGTCGATCGATTGTTTGTCCTGTGAATGTGGAATAGTTGAAGCGAGAAATTGATTGGTTACTGGATTTGTGTGCTGTGTTTTGATTGGTCCATTTTTCAATATTGTCGGTCAATTTTAGTAGAGTACCCAAACTCTCCCATCTTGAATCGAATGGACAATAATCATATGCACATTATACATTGATTGCAGTCTCAGTGTTTCCAGAATATTGCTGGGTTGGTTGTTTCAAACGTGTTTCAAACGTGTTTAGAACGTTGATCTGCCTGCAACGGCATAGCAGTCTAGTGGTTGCTCGGCTGGTTTAAACGTGTTTAAAACGTGTTTAGAACGTGCTGCTTCAAATGGGGTTGCACTTGATCAGTACCGATGGCATGGTAATCAACCGCGTAAAGCAATGGGTTTTAAAATGCGCGGCTTGCTATAAAACTACCACCGAACTCGACCGCCAGTTTTGCCCCGTTTGTGGCAACAACACGATGGAGCGCATCGCGTGCAGTTTGGACAAGGACACGGAGCAGTTGACGCTGTACACACGCGCCAACCGGCCAGCGGTACGCTCGTGGCAGTATTTAAAATGGATTTTAAATGTTTCGTAGAACCTCCGAGGCTCCAAGTTTTCCCTGCCCATGCCCACGGGCGGTCGCAGCGGCGACTTGTTGTTGCGAGAAGATCAGCTCATGCATGGGATTTGGGCCCAGCGTCAAAAGTCGTCGGCCAAGGTGCGTTTAAAATCTTTTTTAATGGTGGAGGTGATTTAAAAAACGCTTAAAATGACCTGATTGTTTGATATTATTTTTACTGCATTTAGGTGCTCAAGAGTGCGTTTGGCGAACACGTGGCCCATGATTTGGGCGTAAAAGCAGAAAAGCAAACGACTATCACGGTCGGGTATGGCCGAATGAACCCAAACTCGCAAAAGGGCCGCGAACGACGGGGCAAGAAGAAGCGCCACACGGACTAGTTCATACTATTATGTCCAAGTTGAGCTTGGTTTTCTATTGGATTTAGACGACGGCAAAAAAAATAAAAAAGTATAAAAAACGATGAATTTTCGATTCGAAGCACATTCACAATCCACCTAATCATAATGCTTCAAAGTATACTGCAAGGGACTAGTTAGATATTGACACCGTTGTGAAATACTGTATCGCGCACTTGTCCACAGCGTTATTGCTTTTCCTACCCTCCTTGCAAAGTCACTAAATAAATGTAATCTAAATGGCAATTCACTACGAATTAGCATAAACTGGTGCTACACTGCTAGGTACATTCATCCATTCTAGGGCGGGCTTCCCACACAGCATTGCTACGTTCGTTCGAAGCTTCTAATCTGCTTCACAACAATTTTTCGATCATACGGCGAATCCGAGCCAAAACAATTTGGGCTTGTGTTTTGATAGGTGGTTATCAACGTCAATAACGTTAGCCCGTTAATGTTGTTTGATCACACTAATACACGAATTACATATGAACGCGAACTTTACTACCACCTGATTGGCTCAATCATCTTATGGTATTTTTGACTTCAACATGCCAAGTGGAATTAAGAAAGGCGGGCATGTAGTTATTTATAGCTCGAGGCCGGTTCGTAGGCGGTGGGTTGGTTTCATTTGTAACTGCACAACTGGTGCACGTGTATATACACGACACCTTCGACCCTTTCGGCCGCGTTCTGGACAGTCCATTGCTTCTACTCCGCGTGGCGACAGCAGCATTTGTGTAGCGCTATATCGAGGAGCATTCTTAGCATTGCACGACCAACCACAAACACAATCACACGTCTTCGTTTCCCCCCATCGGCTTTGTTTGGTTGACAAGTACACCCCCTGTATTCAAAATCGTCAGTAACAATCTCAGCCAACATGCCAAAGAAAGCCCTGTCGTTGGATGAAGCCGTCGCGCAGGGCCAGCGTCCGTCGACCCCTCGATCCCTCGAAGCTTGTTTGCGAACAGGCATCGACCCCGACGAGATTGTCCCGAGGTAGTCTCAGTCAATCATGCAAATATCACCACCACCCGCAAGAAATCCGATAAAGGGCTTCTATTTATTTGGCTTTGAATTCAATGCCCAACGTTCCATCCATCCATCCCTACCCGACGACTTGGCCATGCTTTTCAACGTCTTGAACTGCTATGTGTGATGATGATGATACTTATGTAGATTGCTGGAAGAGTTTCTCAGCAAGTTGCGCAAGGCTGACGACGTCGAGCGCGAAGCCGCGCAAATCCGATTCAACCATTTTGAAGAAGGCCGACAGATGAAGATCAGATTGCTCAAGAAAGAACGGGCGAGTTTGGTCGAAGCTGGGTACACGTCGTCGCCGTCACCGCTGACAAAACACGCTAGTCCGACCAAGGTAGTATTATTAGTGGAGTCTATTCGCTAAAAGAGTTTGACCCTATTGAAGCTTGTACAAACTATACCATACAACCATCCAAATGTTTACTATATATCAGGTTTTGCCCAATGCCGAAGCACATTCACGTCGTCTTATTGTCCGAATTGTTTGTTCTGAATTTGCAATGTCAAAAGTGTCCTATGTCACACTAATTTCAGTCATACACTAAATCCATAGGAATGGTTAAGAGTGGATTTCATTGGCTACTTGATTGTAGTGTGCTGGGTTTTGATCTGCTCATATTTGCATTGAGCTCCCAAACTTTGCAATTTCAAATAGAATGGAGAGTAGATGAATTGGATGCTGTTGTCGCGTTCGTTTTACGATGTTATCCTTTTATGCCTTGTCTATATACGACGAGATGCTATGTCTCGTGTGTGCTTTTACTTGTAGCCAAGTGAAGGCACTACCAACAACAGCCCCAATGTACGACCCGTCTATCTCAGTTCCACTAGTATCGTCTGTATATACTCTTGTTGATGAATATATACGAGATCTCTTGATGAGATTTCCATCTGTCCATCGCATGATGTATCCACATATATAAATTTATTTATGTAGTCTGTCGGTTCAAAACGTGCCCAGGGAATATATATATATATATATATATTGACTATATTGACTATATGTGTGTGTTTGACGTAGAAAATCACGTCGCCGTTCGACGTGTTCACAGCGCCCGAGGACAAACTCGTCGTGACCGACTCGACCATGGTTGAAATGGAAGAAAAACGGTTCCAAGCTATGAAAGTTCGGTATGTACAATATATATATATATATATGTATATCATATATAGTATTGTCCTTTTACCCAAATTTGGTGTTTTGTGCTGATTCGGCAAATCTATCGGTCGAGTCTTTGTACTAATGAATTTTGTGTATAAATAGTTCTCTTGTGATTGATATCACACTAATTTTTTTCACGCATTAATTAGTGATTATGGTTTCCTGTAATCCGATTAGCTAAATCCTTCTGCCGAGTCTTTTGTGCACATTTTGTTGTGTCGATTCATCCTCCATGTCACTCCAGTATAGAATAAACTCAACAATATGAATACTACGTCCGGGGTTGTGGAGGTTCGGGGTTCGTTGACGTTGGATCAATATTTGTCCACGATATATATATAAATATATGAATGTGTCACCCTAATATCGTTCTAAATATATATCATATATATATATAACAACCCCATGTAATTGTTCCTTGTATCGGGATGCCACAGACAAGAGCGAGAGATTGCAGGCATCATTGAAATGGAAAACAAGATGGCCGAAATTCAAAAGCAAAACGCGGCGCGAGAAGCGGTGGAAGCCAAGCGCAAAGCAGAGTGGGAAAAGGAAAAGAAGGAGCGCCGCGCCGCTCTCATGGCGGCAAAACATGAACGGGAACTCGCCAAGAAAAAGGCCGAAGTACAATATATTTAAATATTTTATATTTGAAATATATATATATCATCGTATGTACAGGACGCCGAGGCTGTTGCGAGGCGGATACGGGCAAAGCGCGAAGCGGAAAAAGAGAGAATTCTGCTAGAAGAAGGACGCAAAGAAGAAAAGCAGCGGCAAATTGTACGTTTCAAATCTCGAGATATATAATTAAAAATGAAATATGAGGACCCTACGACTAAAAAAATGGAGATATATAATTAAAAAGGAAATATGAGGACCTACGACTACAGATTTGACTGGGATTTATATGAATTCGTGGAAACGTTGACGACAATGCGTAGGAAATGGCAGAGCGCGAATTGGACAGAAAACTCAAAGCCGAGCAACACCGACGGGACACGGAAGAGCTTCTTCAGCAACAGGTAAAAAGGACTGTGTAGAATATTACAGAATGTCCGAAGTGGGATAAACTGGTAGTTGGTTGTCCAAATATATCGATCGATCCCATTCATCTTGACGTTTTTGAATGGCTTGTTTTGACGTTACGAATTATCTATTTTATTTTGATGCCGTGGGTGGATATGGGTAGAAGCATAGTCAACTTCTACCTATTTCATTCAGCTCCATTAAGCTCAATCGTCATTCTTGTGTGGCTATCTTGATACATTGTCGATAATGATAAACACAACATGGCGATGCTATTTGTACGAATCTGGATCGAGTTATTGTTGGGACGGAAATATTTGTTTATTTAATGGGTTATATATGTGCTCTGGTACCAGTGAAAGCTCATCAGTATTGCTAACTGTTGGTTGTAGGAGAATAAAATCATGGAGAATCGGAGGCGTGTGATCGAGCGGGAAAAGCAGGCGCAGCGGAAAATGGAAGAAGCCAACGAACGACGTCGACAAGAAGCGCTAGTTCGGTACGTACGAGTATATATATATATATATATATTACAAGTACATCGTAAAATATATATATATTATATATAGATTATACATGTATTGGACGTATGATAAATACTGATGATACATACTTACGACAATACATCGGTTTTACGAGTGTACTATAATAGACGGGAAAAAGCCAACACTCGGATTCAAATGGCATTGGAGCAAAACCAACAAGTGATGCAAAAGAAGAAAAAAGACTTTGACGCCAAGCAAACGCTGGCCGCGGCGCGCGCGATGGAAGTCCACAAAAAGGAAATGCTAGGTAACCGAAACTACGCATACCTTTACATTATATAAATGTACTACAACATGGCTAGTTCGTCGAGATGTGTTAAGAATAGTCGATCGATAGTGATGGGGATTTGTGTAGATTTGAAGGCACGCGCCGAACGCAGTCGAAAAGAGGAAGAAATTCGCATCCAGCGGGTCGAAGCTGCGCGAAACAACCAGCAAAGCCGCGTGCAAACGATCGTGGAAAAGCGGTCCCAGCTCGTACGTTGTCCGTTGTGTATTTTTGTGTGGACATTCAAGCTACATTGATATGAAAGACATGATAGAATTTAGTGTATTTTGGACGGGAAAGGGTCGACTGTGTATCTGGTATATTATTGGGTTTTTTACGAATCCAAACTATGCCTGGTGAAATTGGACAAAGGCCCTTTTTTGTGTATTTCTTGTTGGATGGTGGATTATAAGCACTCTAGCAAATCTTCGATTGTGTGTGGTCCTTGGTATTCCTATATAAGGCGATGACAGTCACGAAAAATTGTCAGGTTGGAGTGTTCATAACGAGTGATAAATTGTGTGAACTACTCAAAATGTCCGCCCGCGGTTGGTTGAATGAACCGCCAAACAACGACCAGACCTGTGAAATTGAATATAATGCGAAGTTAAAGAGGGATATTGATGACAACATGACAGCGTTCATTCGTTTTGGCCAATCAAAATTCAACATTCATCCTTTTGATCCAATCATACTGCTTTGCTCGATTTGTTGGCGATTTCAACAATCCCACTGGCAAATTCGGATCAAAAACACAATGCTATTGTGGGGATGTGATAGCAACAACGATCATCAGTTGCCTTAGGGGTGTTGTCAGGCGAAGTTTGGCCGGCTGCGACTTTCGCGTTTGCATATTCAGTGTGTTGATGGATGATGCGTCGACGAAGTTTTGTACGATTTGATTCATGTGTTTTTCACAACACCGAGCAACCAGCTAATGGGTTGTGTGCTTTGTGATATGTTGTATCGCATCGTAAATATATATATACAGAACGAAGAATGAACTATTATATATATATATATAACGAAGAATGAACTATTATGTATATAACGAAGAATGAAATAATATATATATGACGAAGAATGAACGAATATATATATAACGAAGAATGAACGAATATGTATATAACGAAGAAAAAACTAATATATATATAACGAAGCAAAAACGAATATATATATAACAAAGAATGAACTATTATATACATATATTACTAAACGGATACGATGGGTTGCAGGAGTCACATTTGGACGTGGTGTACCACGAACGCATCAAAGATCGGACTCTCAAGTGCGTCGAGCGCGACGTCACGTTTGAAGAAAAGAAGGCGAACGTCGAACGCATTAAAAAAGGTCAACAAAAGTCATCAATTTATAGAGGTTTTTATTCACTCCATATGTATAGTCGAGGAGTTCAACCGACTGCAAACCCTCATGAAAATCTCCCAAGAAGACTCGCGGAGCCGCATGATCAAAATGAAAAAGCAGGCGCTGATTGAAGCCCGCAAAAAGATTGCTCTTGGTATGTGGAAAATATGTTGGTATTTATATATATATATATATAGTATATTTGATGTGGGATAAGGCATGGTATAGTCCATTTTGCTGAAACTTAGCCTTAGTCGAGGATGTGAGTCGGATTTGAAGCTGCTTCAATGTATGGTATACAAATTAAAAGATGAACATATTGACGTGGCCAACCTATGCAGATCGATGATTGGTTGCAATTTCTCGTGAGTACAGTCTGATTGGCTTCCCAGATACATTTGTTACCTTCGTTCGATTCAACTCGAAAGTCCTTATTGGAACGGATTTGATAATGTATATATATATTATATATTATATATATATATATATATATTTATAGGACGAATAGTCGTTTAGGCGACAAGCTTCGACGGGTTGTTTTACGTTGCAAGAGTTTCAGAGCATTCTCCTTACACTTTGGTTGATACTTTCTACTATGCCCACAAGCAAAGAACCGATGCCACTTCAATTTTATGATGAATATATATATACTTGAATATGTTACTTTGCTTGATAAATATAGGCACAGCAGGATATGGTTTATACGGCCATTGGATTATTCATTTTATTTTTATTACTTGAGTACGAATTGACCATGTTGTAGAGTCGTTGGTTCGCAAACATCGCATCGCCGAAGCCGTGGGCAACATGCGCATTTCCAACAAGTGGGATAACATCAATGAAATCATGTACGTGATAGATATAATAAATATATTATGTTTACTAGATAAAAACACAAATATATATATATATATATATAGGGAGAGCGCGACCACGTCAAGCCCAGGCAAGGACAAATCGCGCAAGAAAAAGCTGTCGAGCTCGAAATCGGCGTCCGATTTGGAAACCCCCACGTATTTATGAGATGTAAAACCCACCCCCCCGTTGATTACTACATAGTAACGAACGACTGTAAACCCAACAACACGTCATAGCTTGCAAGTAGTGTGGTTGTTGTAGTGCTCATTAATTACTACGTAGTAAGCAGCCACGAGTCTACAAAGCTCTTTCGTATCAAAATATATGCAATAGTCATTTGCGACCAACGCTGGTGGTACTTCTGCAAGAATGTTATTGTGCCGTTTTTTACCCAAAATTTGGCCGACTTTTGTGCTGAATCGCCAAATCTATCGATCGATTCTTTGAACGGAAACAGAGGTTATGACGTGATTTGTATCACACTAATTGAAGTCACACACTAATTCGATATTGGTTGGATTGTTTCGTGCGATCTGATTGGCTCAATCCTTCTGCAGATTCTTCTGCCCATTTGGTTGTGTCGATAGAATAAACACAACAATATCGTATCAGGTTATAGTTCCAACCCCATTACTACATAGTAAGCGATCCATAGGCGACGCCAGGTGCAAACCATCGCCAGCAACGCTGCTCCTGTCAACAGACCAAGTACTACTAGTAGTATTAGTAGTACTCTAGTAACTACTAGACTAGCACAAACGGCAGGTTAGTCCGAGTCGTTGTCGCTCGTTGTGAGGTCAATCGTCGATCGAGTTGGTTTGGACTGGGGCGAGTGATCGATGAGGATCCAGTTTTGGTGGCTGTTGCCATCGGATGGCTCTGGCTTTGTTGGGTTGGGAGTGATGGTAGCCACCGGGGCAACTTGTTTAGAAACGGAGGAGGATGGTTGGAAGAACGAGGCAATGGATGGCTGGGGACGTTTGCATTTCTTGGCTGGGGGGGCATCTGAATTGAGTTTGCTGGCTTTGGATTTGAGCGATTTGGGCGGCGGCTCCTTGACTTTGATGTACGACCCACCGCACGTTTGGGCATGTGTGGCCCACCACGGGTCTACATGATACTATTATTATTATTTATTCATATTCCACTACTCGAAAAATAAATAAATAATAATTCAAGTCAGCAATCTCCGACGGTCGAGTTGATTGGTTTCAACATATACCTCTCGGACCAGGCGGTCGATTCATCGCACGTTTCACCATGCCAAAGTAAGGAGGTTTGGACTGACAAGGTCCCTACATAAATAGTATTTATTACGACAGATTACTCTTGCATTCTTCTAGCACAAGTAAATATATATATAAATGGGCACGACAACTCACGTACGTACACTGCACTTCCACCAATGCACGCGATACGTGTCGACTTCGTCGTGAAAAGTGTGAAACACGGTGATTTCCGTTTGAGCTACAAGCAGCCAGTATTAGGGACTTTACAGTTAGTATGTACTACTACTACTACTATGTAGTAGTAGTAGAATGGGGTAGAAAACGTGATCAACTCGATGAAAGGGGTACTAACAGGCGTCAGGCATCGACTCTAGGATTGCCACAGGCTATAGTGCTCTAGTAATACTAGTAGTATACATAATACTATGAAAATCCAGAAATATTTGAGTAATGATGCTAAACTACACCTGTACTGTACATACCCATCTTGTTGATACGGTTCATGTGGAACTGGAATTGAGGTCCATGGTCTAATCAAATGCGTGAGTTAATATTAAACCAGATAAAGAACCAAAATATATCGTTATTATACGTATTATATTTATTAATATATATATATCCCAAGCATAGTATACATTATTACCTTCGTGGTCTCGTACAGGACTGTGTAAGAACAGAAACGCATGGATCATTTCGTGCTACCACATACAGCTCGTCAGGTTGCATTGCCACGGTACGACATAATGCAGACCAGCAATGTATTGACCAGGTCTGCCCTCGGACGCAGCTTCAGGAGCGGCTGGCTAAGGACGAGATGTTGTGAGACATGGACGAAGGAGCGAGGGGTGAACGATGACCTGAGGCGAATTGAGCAAAAGCCAGACGCCGGTTGGAAGCTGCACAGACCGGCACACAGCGTCATGCGCGGACTCCACTTGATTTCGCAGCCACGGAGGTGGCCGTCAAAGAAGAGCGTGTCGTACTCCTATAGACAAGTCGTTCGTTGGGGAAAGGATGGGTGTGGTGGCGGAGTTGTAGTGTGATGTAGGTAGTAGGTACCATGAACAACGACCAGACATCGGGCGTCGGATCTAACCATGAATGCATGCCACGTATGACGATGAGGACTGGGCCTTCCACAATGGACGTATGCATGCACAACGTCCATCTACTTGATGGCTGGACGTACCTAGATACTCGTACTCTTCCGCCAAGAGGTTCATAGCCGCCGCCGAATGTTCTGCGACGTCGGAATATTGGGTGACGCGATTCGACGGGTTTGATTGGCTCATGTTGGGTTTCAACAGCCAATGGAATCCATTTGGCAAGAGCAATCTCGAAATGTCCAAGTACAATCAGGCTCTGGTTCAATATTGTGCTTTTCACTGAACTTTGGACTTCGCAGTCGAAACTTCAAAGCGATTTCGAATGTATTTTCCATGTTTTCCCCGACTGATTTTACCCAATCCGAAGCGACAGGGCACGAGACTGGTAAAATCTCTGGAATGGAGTGATGTGATTGGCTTAAGACATTCATAATCTCTTTGTTTAGGCTATTCGATTCGCCTCCCCAGTTCCAATTTAGTGTTGAATACACAATATAACAATTACTCATAATACTAACTATACGTATGGGCGCAGTTCCGTGACACTTTTTGGGGCCCTTCGGTGGAGGGGTTCCTTTACTCCAAATTGCTATTATAATAGTGTTTCTTAAAGAGGAGAATTAATGCAGTTCGTAGAACTTAAAATCATGTCGAATTTCGTATTAGCGTTGATGGAAAATGAATTAAAAGAGTGGAAATATCGATAGGCTGAAAACAGTTCCGAGCCACTTGATTTTATCCAGTTACCTGTCAAAAATTGCATCTGATTGGCTGAAAATTTTCAGAGTAATTGTTTTCTACCAATCATGCATCGTGGCACGGAACCAAGTTGGCACGGAACTGTGCCCATATTAATAATACTGGCACTATTAATAGTACTCCGGAGTACTACGTATTACTATTAATAGTACCAGTAATAATAGCGACTGCAACCACAATGGCTTCATGGATATGAGTACTACAGTAGTATAGGCCTTCCCTATGGCGTTATCAAAGTCGAATATTCAGCTTTATGGTCGCTAGGAATTTCATTTTTAACAGAAACAAAACCAGCAGTACAGTACTTTCGTTCAATTCTATTATAGTCGAACGTTAGTATTAATATAAATTTCCACCCGTTATCCGTTTCTAAATATAGCTGTCGTATATGTACAAGGATAAACTTTGCACATTGCTTGATGGAATTCGAGTCTATTTTTGACACGGTAGTCCACCCCCATCATCCCCAGTCTTGCTCGGGACGCCGCACTCTGTCATGACAACGCGCCGCCACCGCATCAGCGACAAGGCGTTTTTGTCCTTCTTCATCCCTGTACGTGCCTCGTGTGTCAGAAACTCTGGCTTCGTGTGTCAGCAACGTTCTCACATACGACGGCTTAGATCGCGTGTGTGTTGTTCGTGTCCGCCCCGGTATTCGTGCTCAAGTCGTACGCTGATCCGTTGCTAGAAACCACAGAGGTATGTACGTATATAACGTTACCCCTCCACCTGTTGCTTTGTCTTCATGCTCTCTCTCGTACTATTCGGATGTGTTATCTCATGAAATTCCAGTTTACTTTTTCAGGTGGATTAAATATCATAACGTTACTACTGTTCGCATCCAACGACTTTCGATATTGCTCTCTCACTCTATATTGTATACTATTGTCTGTACAACATGCCTACTACTGACTGGATCTTTCTAGTGCAATATGCACCTGCGTGTTGAGCTTGATATGGACATATCCAGTTACATGAAAGACAAGATAGTCGTTCAGATTAGCGTCGTCCACCAATGTAGTCTCCCCCTCGGTTAACGTTTGTGCGACGACGACTACCACCAAATATTATGCACAGGGATCTTCTTGTTGTTGAGCTCGTTTTTGCATGCACTGATAGGGCGTGCCAGGCTTGTGGAGACAAAAGTTTAACTGGTGGTGGCAAAAGCAAGCGTGGCCTCTTCTTTTGCCCGTCACCACCGCCGGAAAGCCATCCGACCCCGAGATTCCGCTCGTGTTTTTACACGAAAAGTACCCGCACAATGGCCATAAAACGCTGCGCCTCCACGACAAAAAGTACTTGAAAATGGCCGAATCCATGCAAAAGTCGAAATATCCGTCTGAATTGGGCTATGTGTACATTTTCGACGCGAAAGACACGCGCGACTTGCCCAAGGTAAGACATCTGACATTTGATACATTGTTTGGGTAATTTTAGATGTTTAGCATGGTGGTTTATCATATTCACGTTGACATTGTTCACATGGACAGTGACGTCATTTGCTGCTTGAATTGATTGGAAGACCATGCTATTTTAGTTGGTGTGTTGCACTTCATTATTTCGTACCTACGACACATGATACACAACTAAGTTTAAGAGGAATCTTCATTCGTTTTGCCAACCATACTGCTTTGCTGGATTTGTTTCTGGTTCCCAAAATGGGCAAATATGGTGAAACATGGTTATATATCAGAACGTATACTACAGATTCCACGCTCGTACTTTTTTGCGTTCAGCCAACCAACACGTTTTGTCTTGCTTGACTTACTTCTTGTGGATGCTATATTATTATCCTTTTACCCAAAATTTGGTCTTTTGTGCTAATTCGCCAAACCTATCGATCGATTGTTTGTGCGTAAAATTCGTCCTGTGTTACACTAATTTCATGTTGAATTGGGTTGAAGAGTGGATTTGATTGGCTACTTGATTAGTGCTCTGGGTTTTGATTGGTTGATCGATTGTCTGTCGATTTGGCGCTGCTCATTCTATTTGAGCACCCAAACTCTCCAATTTATAATCGACTCGACAATATTATATTTAATCTGTTGATTGTGTGCAGGGCGAATTGATTCAAGTCGACGGCTTTGAGTGGAAAGACGACGGATGCTTGCTCTCGACGACTCGCAAACGGAGCTTTCGGTGCGTCAACTACTCGTTCTGTTTGGATCTGTTCTAAACCTGTATATATATTATATATATACATGAATATTCGTAACGAACGAATATATTTGTAGAATCAAAAGCATCCGCCGCGACCCGCACCAAGGCATCATGTATGCCAAGGTCGAATGGATCTAACTAAAAACGAATAATACATGATTAAACATGTTTTTGCTAGCCCAACTTTGTCCGATTTGTGAAACTCGACGGGTGGTGGCGGAAGCAAGCGTGCCCCTCTTGCCAGCAATGGGAACGCTGAGATATCGCTTGTGTTTTTTTACGAAAAATACCCACATGTATTAAGCATACCAATAGCATTTTTTCTGAGCCAGGATCAAACTCTATGATATTTTTAAAATTTTCAGAGTTTGATCAAATTTGTGTGTTTTACTCTATTGAGGTGGGGTACTACAGTATTGAAAGGACATTACAATGGTATATATATATATATATATGCCTTGACACATGGTGAGATCACTTCAGACAACGACGGAGCAATGTTTTGACTTCCGTGATTAAACGTTAGCGTTAATTCCGTTGATTGTGTCCAGGACGAATTGATTTGACTTTTCGAAGTGAACAAGATACTGCTAACGCTAGTATTGCGAAATCTCCTTCATATTGAATTATCTATATTGTCAACCAATTTATATATATATATGTATCTAGTCGACGACAAAGGTATCGGCAATGTGATGAACAATATCCAGGCCGGACTCGTGTGCTGGTACTTCGTGGCTGCGCTTGGCGATGATTTGCTCATGGGCCAGCGCACTTTCAAACAGCACGTCGATGCGTTCCCACTCCAACGACTGCATGCACACCAACATTTCTAGTCAATAAATAAATATATATATATATATATTAATATTTAGAATTTTTATCAATACCGGAGAAGATATCGAATATTCTATTTCAAATACACAGCAATAAAATGGCTAGCCTGCGACGACGTACCTCGTAAAATATCGCGCATGGGGTCGCTCGAGTAAATATCTTCGGGGCTGTCCACGAGAACTTTATCGGATTCTAACCACCACCACAATATTATATATATATATATTTCAGTACTAAAATAGGATGAGTTTGTACAGATATATATATATATCCATGTATCATCGGCATACAAGGCACCACCATCAACGTCTGATCATCAAGCATCACAATGACCAAATATATACCTATATATAAATATATATTTATATATATATCCATGTTGATGGTGGATATCTATTGTTACCTTTGGACACGACATGGCAAATGCGATGCTGCTGCGGGGGCAACTCATCTACAAGTCATGCAAATGGCTGTTGAACAAGTATGTTCCTTTAACAAGAGTTTGATGTGTGAGTATGTTGTGTACTGGTATCGGCGGCTTTATTGACTGGAAATATGATTGCTGGAATCGTAGCCAAGCCTTGCAGCCAGCTTTTGGGTTTGGGCGGGTCCACTGCGTGTGCTTCTTGAGAGATTTCGGCTGTAGTTAGCTCCAAAACTAGGCCCAATAGTTAATTGTATTGATCATAACAACGTCGAATTGTTCATGTAATATATCGGTAGACTAAAATTTTACTCAACCACAAGGTTAGTGTGAACGTCAACCATACAACACAAGATCCATAAGAGACCAAATAATATATTACAACAAGGCAGAAAGATGTACGTACATTGCACGCCATTCAACAATATTACAGAGTTGTTTTCATCTGACTAAAGTGGACACACAAGTCCGTCGACGCATACAAAAGTAAATAGAAAATCATGGTTGGCCAACAACAATCAAACGATGTGCGGCGGTGGAGCGATGACGATTGGTTAAAACTCGTCAGAAACGTGACCTGGGATTGGCTACACGATTTTAAAAAAATGTCGCCAACTAACATGTATAACTATTCAAAATTGTCTCCAACTAGATAGGACGCACTGCTGGCGCGCAGAATCGCCGCGTTTTCCATCGAGTGCAGCGTAATGTGCGGGTACACGGACGATGTCGCAGATGGCACGACGTGGCTGCGATACGGGTTGAACGCTCGGAATGCAGAGCACGAATACGGCGCCTACCACGTCATTGGTAAAAAAGGCGGCAAAAATTACAAAGTACCTATCAAATAAAATACGAAAGACCATCAAGAAATAAACAAAAAATATTTTTAGAGAGAACATTTTTTTAATAAAATTAAAATAACTATAAATGGATAATCAATACTACCCTAAACATAGATTTAAGCAAGAATGTTCTTTTATTCTTTTATTTAAAAAATAATTTTTTCTTAATTGGGTTTTTAGTAATAATATCAATATTAAGTGGAATAAATATATAATATTTTTTCGAAAATATAGATAATTATAATATTCGAACGAATCACGATACACAGCCAAGGTGGACACTCGACAATCGAGTTTTGCACTGGAATTTCGACTAGAGCACTTTACCAAACTACTTAATCCGTCCGTGAAATATTAATGATCCGTATTGTTATGTGTATATATTCTATACTGGAGAGACATGGAGAATGAATCGACACAAGAATCGGCAGAAGTAGTAGTATTGAGCCAATCGGATGGCCGGAAACCACCACCATAAACGTCAAATTAGTGTATAAGCTTCAATTCATGTGATCCCAGTATCACCACAGGACGCGTGTTTCCATACAAACGTCAGTACCCACAAAGCATGCTCGATCGATATGAGATTTCGTGCGAATATCAGCAGCACAAAAAAGTCCACATAAATCAGATGGGAAAAAAGGACAAAAATAATACCTGGATGTCATAAAACACGTTCGAGTACACTGCGCGTCGTCGAAACGCGTGCAATCCATGGAGAAACGCCCCTTGGCACAAACATTGGAGTAAATGTTGCTTGGCAAGTGGCTGAGCAACTGAACGACTGACAGGTGGAAACAGCGTATACGCATTGTCTAGGTCTTGTAGCTGGAACGATCGAAGCTGGAGCTTGTCGCCAGGGTACGTGGCACACGAAATGGCGCCGAGTCTTAACAGTATCGCATGGACAAATGCCCAGTCGTCGGTCGACTCGATGCAAATGTCAATAGCCACCTCTTGTCCGTCGTGTCGGCCTTGCAATTGCAGCACCGTGTCTCGTGGTTGTGCTAGAGTTACCATATTGACAAAAAAAAGCTGTTAGGTTTGGATATATATTTATATATATTGTTGTGTTGAAACTGGAGCGATATGGAAAAAATGCATCGACATTGCCAAATACATGTATTACAGAAGACGACTCATCATCGGTAAAACGAGTGAGCTATTCCGATTTTGTGATCACGGGACACTTGATTGGCTCAAATATCCATATCCAAAATAGATTGTAGCCAATCAGCGACAAGTCTTTTCGGATTGACCAATCGGAGAGATTCGATTGCCGGAAATTCATGTATATACCAACTCAAAGCATCAAAGAATGGTTCTCGATTCCATGACCAATTTGCGAGCAAGCTGCTCGTTAATCATTGGGATAATTTTTCTAACAATATCTTGTACTGGTAGCAATCTGGACCGTGAAATATAAAACGTTATGAATTGAATTGTACAAGTCACTGTCATCTCAAAGCAATTCTACAAATAATTTGTTCAAATATTTCATTCCTTCGGGCAAAACGTACGACACAAATACATAGTACTCGTCGAAACAACATCAGTATATCAACATCCCAGTATTACGTTATCCTAGTACTTGTAGTAGTAGTACTAGGACAAACTCACTACTACCAAACTACGACACGAACGCAAACACGGCAGACCGACACTCCCCCATGCACACCTCCATCAAATACATACATATATATATATATATACGTATTTGATGCAATATAACGATATCTTTGTATTACCTGGGATGTGCAAATGATTGAAATCGTGATCATGATCGTGAGAATTGGCGGCGGTCGGCGGAGTTAGCGGCTCGGGCAGGTATAGCACCGCATCGAAATGCGTCAAATCGAACGAGAACAACGGCGGCTCATTCACGTCCAGGTGGGAAAAGTACACAGCCCAAGAGTTTCCCAGTAACTGGCTAAACAAGGTGGAAAAACCAGCATTGGGGGCCGCAAATTGCATCGTCAACGTCATCGCCAGTGCTAGCACAACGACCAGTGGGGATTTGAAATAGGATGGAATGGTGTCGTGGAAAATATATATATATACATTATTAATTTCATTCAAGTACGTGAGGTCTTGGAATAGGATGGCGTCGGGGAATATATAAATATATTGTCAAATCGATTCGAAACTGGAGCCCTCAGCAAGCATCACATGCCTTAAGAGAAATGGATAACGAACCGCTTCAGCCAATCAAATCATGTCCCGTCGAGTTTCTGCCAATCAAAACATTTGAATGGGCCCAGCCCCTCCGCATTGGGCAAAACTACATACAAGTATATCCTAATCTTTGTAGAGTATAGTTTGTACAAGTTTAAATTAGATAAAAAATGGATTCGAAATCTATAATTCACTCACAAGTCCAAATTTGGGCAAAATGCACAATATTGATTTTATTCAAGTGAGGGCTTGGAATAACATGGCGTCGTCGAATCTATATATACAGTATATATAGAGTATATATGTATATATAGAGTATATATGTATATATAGAGTATATATGTATATATAGAGTATATATGTAATATACAGTATATATAGAGTATATATATATCATATACATATATATATATATACAAGTATTGATTTATTTCAACACTAGAGCATGCACAGTATCGACACAAGCAAAAGAGGATACAAACAAGGCTCACATTCGACATTGTGCAAAAAATTAGTGTGACAAGCCCCGACAGCCAAACTAAAACGTGGCATTCGTCTTGAAACCAGAATGAGTGTGATAGCCTCCCCCACGTGGACAAATGTTCATTTATTTTGGACAATTTTCATTTAATTTGGACAAAATTCATTTATTTTGGACCATATTCATTTATATTGGACAACATTCATTTTTATTCAAAACAACACCTTACCTGGAAACGACCGAGGGGTGGTCACAGTGACGAGGGTATGGACAGACGACAGCGCCAGCGTGTCTTCGGAGACGGCATCTCGAAGGGTCAATTGCGCGCCGGTTCTACTTGGCATGCACATGGGTTACTACTACTAGTATTCGTAGTAAAGGTTTCTACTACAGTACTAGTAGTACTAGTATTGGTAGTACAGGTTACTACAAGTACAATAGTAGTAGTATTGGTAGTACAGGTTACTACTAGTACAATAGTACTAGTATTGGTTGTGGTATTGTTAACTGAGGCATGGGATGGCCACGTACAGATCAAACAATTTGGACGAGATCGAGTTGAACAGCGTGTTGAACGCGCCGCGGCTGGCTGGTCGACGGATGCCGAGGTGGGGCGAGGCCAATGCAATGAAGTTCTACAGCAACGCGTGAGACAGAGCAACGCCCCAACAGAAAGGATGGCACGTGCCATGGGCTCGATGGTGGCAAAGAAGCCGCGGGCGTAGAGGACCCCAATGCAATACCGAACGTAGAGACCGCCAAGGGAATGTCCGATGAACGAGATCTTTTGAAGTCTACCCCAAGACCAGCATGAGGTTGTGGTTGGGGGGCTGTCGAGGACATATGGACGTTCTACGTACTTGGGGCATTGCGCGGCGAGAAGCTCCACTTCGTCAGCGAGACGAACACCACCAATGTCAATGCCGTCGTGCGTCGTATAGTACTCTGTCGAGTTGCTTCGTGTCGCGACAACATGGACCCCTGCATAAAATTGAGGTGCCTCATTCAGCAAAGGAGTGTGATGAAACACAACTTACGTTGGTCTTGAAGCACCGAGGTCAAGATGGGCTGCAGCGAAGCATAATCTTGAGGGCTTCCGTGGAGCCCGTGCTGTAGGACCACCAAGTGGACGGCTTCACTTGGCGCCGACGGATCGTCGAATTGTCCCTTCATGAAGGATGATGGGGCAAGTTTGGATTGAATGCAGATACAAAAAAATATAATATTCCGACATGCCTGTCTATATGGAGAGTTGTATTATGGATTGATTCTTTGGTATTTAATTTGATTTTCATGAACAGGATGCATTTTAATGTTGCCACGAAATTCAAATATACAAACTGTAAATAGTTTGTGTGAATTTTATAAAAATATCGACACAACATTTGTATTTTTTACATCAATGAACGCGTCGTGGTTGCGCGAGATAGGAGGTGGCGACTGGCTGGCTTGCTACACTACTCGAATCGACGTACTAGTAGGCTGAATCATCGACGTCTCCGACGTGCCTTCGCTGCCGAGGCGCTTCCGTCCTGCAGCTTTCTTTCTTTGCCGGAGGTACACCATGTTGTCGGTTGGCACGCTGTAGTCTCGAAGGGATGTGTACGACGCCCGGTGTTCATCGACAGCCTCTGGGGCCACGGATAGGAAATTTTGGAATGCATCACTGGCGCGGGCAATGGGATGGGACGCTGCCGCGTCCAAGATGTCCTGGAATCTCTCGCGACGCTTCTCCAACACCTTGGTGTCGTACTTGCGCAAAAAGGACCACACACCTGCCGATGGAAGCGACGGTAGAGTCGATCCTGCCGTCGTGAAGCGAGAAATCAGACTCGTACGGGATGTCATGACCTCGTCTGCTGCCTGCTCCATGGGCATGTCGCTGGCGAGCTTGAGGTAAAGCGCGCGGAAGTCCGTATAGCGGCGTCTGATCGTGTACGTTCCGGTGGAGCTTTGGACATCGACGTGGTACATGACAACGCCGTCTTTGCGTATGGAGTAGCTCGTCACGGATAGGTCGACAACGCGAGGTAGGTTGTGGGTGAACGTGTCTTCGACGATGGAAGGGGTGGGTGGTAGCAACGTGCCGACGGGGGTGCCGGCGGAAGGCAGCACGTCCGACGCCTTGGTCGCCCACATGGTCATGACCCAAGCCAGTCCTCAAAGGAAGTGGGGGCGAAATGAGACAGCATCGTCGGCCATCGACTGCCATCTGACATTGGCTCGAATGGGAAAGTTCTTGCGAGTGCAGTTTTCAATCTCATCCCAATACAGTGATTTGATTGGGCCGCCCCATTTCACACCTTTTCAAGATATGCATGGCTGCATTTGATTGGCTAAGATGCCATGTCGTTTCAACATGCGGCGATGCCATTGGACACTTTCCTACATCCTGCGATGCCATTGGTTGATTCAAATTTCGGACGCCAAAGTCAGCGAGTTGATGCGTGAAAAGTGTCATTAATTTTGGTGTGGTTTTCGTCATTAGTTAGTTTGTGACAAAAATAAATCCTTTATCTGAGAGATACATGTACAGTACCTGATCGAAAAATGTCCAATTATAGTAGGTAGTAGTGGTCGGACAACTGAATGAATGAATACACCATACTCGAGGTCGGCGGGACCTGAATTACAATGGACGAATGAATGAACGCTCTGGTGACTCAATGGAGACTGGCGACTCGTTCATTATGCACCGAGTTTGGAAGTGATGCGCCTGTGTAATGAATGTTGAGACGAACGATCAAATGGACGCTGTTACAGTTCAGTTTCGTGACACAAGACTGTGTACTGTACTCTGGAGGGGATGCTGGCACGTTGTCGTCATAAAACAACTAAGTACTACGTAATATACTATAGTATCCGTCAAGGTGTAATTGTTGTATTCCTTGCACTTCCAGCACTCTACGTGAACAACTGAACGTAACCAGCATTTTCGTTACAATGTTGGCCAATCAGTGGATTTCAGTCCATGTTGAATGTGTTTTGTGGTCTAAATAGATAGCGACGTGTTTATACGGGTAGGTTGCATGGGGTGGTTCAATACAAGGTGGTTTCTTTATCGAGCAACTCCTTGGAGGCAGTGAGAAACGCCTTGGAAAACTCTTTGGACCGTACGGCGTTCGATCGGACGGATAACTTGAACCCGTTCTTGGCTTCGCATTCAGCATTAGCTAGGTCATGCAGGAGTTTGGCCATGGAGAGGGTGTTTTCAGCGGCCGTCATGGCTTCTTTCGGGGGTGAGCTAGTTGCTGGGGGCTTCGACGGCGAAAAGTTGAGCTTGGCGCTAATGGTTTTGACCAAGTGTGCAAACGCCGTGGACGTGACAAACGATTCCAAATTCACGGTTGAAACCGATGTGGCAGATGCCACGTCGCCAAGATCGTCCGAGTCGTTGCCGTGTTGCTGTGCAACTTTGGTCAAGACCTGCAATGACCCGAGTTCGTCCCACGCCGCCGATGTCAATATTGAGGCATACCGCGTCGAATGGTTCTTGTTGTGCGACCGGTCCAGAAATGACAGGGTTTTGTGGTTGTGTACCAGACTCCAGTGAATCAATTCCCGGAAAAATACCAGCACGTCCTTCTTGCCCAATGAAGTCTTTGAGTAAAACGCTACCTTGTCTAGCCTATGTAGTCCCAAGTCGAAGATGAGACCACAAGTGTGACTATTGAGCTTTTGCGTCATACACTTAGCTCCTTAATCCCCCATCACACATGTACTGTATACACTACGTATATATCCAGAAACGAGAAAATGGCATGACTTGGTAACAACTGAGTTCGTACGTAGAATGCTGACGCAATCACACTACTTAGCTACAACCAATCCCAATCAAATCTATGTCAAAGTCTTATAAAGCAGAGATGGCCTCCACATATATATTTACACGAGAATTTGGTACTAAGCAGTGTTATGAACCATTCATAGTGGCTAACAACCACTCAATGCAACGAGAAGACGTCGCAACCACTTGTAGTCCCATTTGATTGGAAAAATATGGGCGGGTACGCTTCTAACGAAAGCCAGGTACACTATGCTCAAGATAAGTCACTCCAAAACCATACATCACTCAACATATCGACCATTATCGTAGAAGCAAGGTTCGTACACTGCAGAAACGTCGGGCTTGGGCAGCGTGGGCGCACCAGGAAGTGGAAACAACGTGTCCCACAACGTCAACGGGGTCGTCGTCGTGTTGTCGAGAGACCCACTGGAACAGCTCCCAGTCAATGAACTGCTCGACCACGTTCGTGACGTCGTTGCATACTGGTGGTGGTGGTAGTCCGTGTCAATAGAGTCCAAGGCCCCGTTGCGGCTCGGTTGGTTGCGACGATGCAACAGAGTTGATTGGTTCACATGGATCGCCTTTTTGCCGCCGGTGATGGCTTTTTGGAGTCTACTCGACGACCCTTCCAAGGACGTGCTGGCGTTCTTGACACTGTCGAGCATGTCCATCAAGTCGGCTTTCATCCGCGCGACTTTGAAACACTCTGTGTCGGCGCACATGTGAATCTACGACAGATATTTAGGGGGTGAAGGGGGTTAGTTGGGGGGGATGATGGGAAGTGTACCTGCTTGTCAAACAACACTTGAAACGCATCCAACGCGTGTCGGAGATGCTTCATAGCGCCTTCAATCGCATACACTTCGGAATGTGCCGTGTCCAAGAATGCATCCGCCTATATATCCATGTGGTTAGTTCACATGAGTAAATATATACCGGTATGTAGTTACTAATCACTTGCAAACTGGTAGATCCATCAAATATACGTAGTATGACCTATGGTAGGTCTCAAATCGTTACCTGAACCAAGAGGTTGTGTGCACGGTCAGTGTGGGGAGAGGATGGCGACGTTGCTGACACGATCAGCTTTTTCTTTGTCGTCGAAGCCCGTTGATGATGCTTTCCTTTGTGCGCCTTGGGCGAATCGTACCCGCCACTAATGTGCCCGCTCAAGGTCAATGCAAACACGGGGTCGTCGTGGTGTCGGTGGCCCATATTACTGTCACGTTTGGGTTGGAAACGAGATTCCGTTTTGTAGTACGTCGTGTTGCGGTTACACAAACAGATATGTACCACTGACCGCGCTTTTAATAGCATGTCCACCGTGTGCCCATAATATAGTTTGACATATTTCCGTTCGTGGTTGATGGGTAAATTATTATCCTGGTTTTGGTTCGTTATCAAAAAATAATAGATATAGAATATATATATATTCTATATTTATTATTATTTTGATATGTATGGGTAACTTGGCGAATACGACAATTCTATCCGACATTAGTCTTATTGGTTAAAATTTCAATACTTCGTACCTTTCATTGGTAGATGACTCTTCATTTTCAATACAAAGACCAAATCTCGTATGTTGGTTTTTATACAATCTCTGACGAGGTGAGAACATGAACCGTGAGGAGCAGCCTCTGCACGCAATACACGTGGCACACG